TCTCACGCCGGCAGGATGACACGTCAGATTGCAATTAACGCCTTGCGCTCCGCGGATTTTCACACGATGTTGACAATTTATTCAATGCTGTCGAGCTAAATGAAACGAATTTGCCTGCATCTATATATTTTATATTTATTACCATTTTAATTTATTTTATCTGGCAGAAATCAAGTTGGCAGAAATTAATTTTCTACATTTATATTTTATTTATATATAATTTATTTTTATTATAATTATAATTCTCTTCCCAATTCTCTTAATTTCTTTCTTTTATTTTCATCATGTATATTTTATTTAAATTCAACAATTTTACCGTCAACTGAAGTCGACATGCGTGAATTAGAACATTACAACTGAAGCCAATCATGTTAGCGTCCGGAGCGCGAAATACTAAGTCAGATCGGTGTTGAACGAGAAATCCACGATGAAAAGTTTCCGATGAAAATCTCGTTTATTCCGTGAAATAATCGGTCGGCGAATCGATCCTATCAGCGAACCCATATCGTAAGTGAGGCGACTTCGGCGTCCACAAACGGCCGGATCGCGCGTATCAGAGCGAACCGGGACGAACTGGAGCGATTGAGTTAAACTGGCGCAATGGATAAATTGCGGCACTTCGGCGCGTCGTCTTCTTTTTTCGTGTCCTTCATCTTCGCTCTTCAACGATCATCGATCGCGGCTGGGACCGGCGCGACGCGGCACGGCGCACAGTGTTGCAGAAATCGCTAAACGTGGCCAAAATAGGAAAAAATAAAAAGCGAAATTTTCGGCTCCCGTTTTCAATATATTTTCTAAAAGGTCCAAATTAATAAGTTGTAGTAACATTTTGATGAAATCCAATTGTATCATGAAGATAAGTGAATTCAAATGTACACGTGATGCGAAGTACAGAATAGCTGGGTTATAACCCTCCAAATGATATAACTGATTTTGCGTTGAAACAATTTTTTATCATGAAAATGATGTTCTCTGTCTAATATCTCATCTGTGTAGTTTTATTTCCAATAAAGAGTATATTAGAAAGTTATAAGTATATACAATAAAAATTAGATTTACAGGACTCACTTTTAATATACAGTTAATCACTTATATCGTGATATATAAGAAATGCATCATTTCGCATCATGTTGTAACTTTGTGAAAATAAAGATAAAATATCTATTAATCCTTATGCAAAGGTAGAAAGAGCGATATCCAGCGCTTACAAAAATATGATAAATTTTATGAGCTGAGTTTGACATTCAGTGCGCTTACGGTCACAGACGCTGTCTACTGCAGGTAATACTGTTCAACACAAAAATTATATCCTCTATCAAAATTCTTTATTCTAATTAATTCTGCTAATGTTAACTACAAATATAATAATTAACGATAATGTTTAAGCTCTAATTAAATAATATAGTAAACAATAGTAAAAATAAAGACTGTAGAGTTATGAGAGAATATCATACAAGAAAAAACTCGAGAATTGCGACGAATGAAGATTTATTTAAAAGACTTCTTTCCTCAGATCCCATCATTTTGTCTTTAAAAAAAGTTTCAGATAAAAAAGCCGATCCCTTCTCTAAAGAAGTTATTGAATTGCTTGCAAATCCAGTTGTAGCAAATATAGTTTCGGACGATGAATAGTTATATTAAATATTTTGTTTAGTTAATAGTTGTATGAAGTAAAAAGCGGAAGATAAAAACTAAAAAAGAAAATAAAAAACAAAAAAGTAAAAAAACAAAAAAATAAAAAAACACAAAAGTAAAAAATAAAATAATAAAATTAGAAAACATGTTATTTTAGTGATAAAGTACTAGTATTTACAATATAGTGTGCTTTTCATTTAACTATAGTACATTATAGCGACAATTGATTTATGGCCACTATTTGGAGGTTTCGCAACACTGTGGCGGCGTGACGATCGTTACGTTCAATCAGCGGCTTGCATTATTTCAAAAGCTGCATCCCGCCACTCGGACAAATGAAACTTCGTGACGAGCGTCCCATCTTGTCTTCATATGCAGCAAACTTCACGAGAGACGTTAACGACAAAACTCTTTAAGTGTAGTTTAACTACGTATCCGATTTTCTCTAATTATTTTACTCGACACAAGACTGATTGTCGTTAAGAGCGGCTTTTTTAGCCATCATTGCGAATCCATTGACGGCCTGATTATGTTTTCGCCTGCGAATGACTTGATCAAGATGGGGCTTTTTCGTAATTTTTGATTGACACCAATGTTTCAAAGAGAGAGAGAGAGAGAGAGAAAGAGAGAGAGAGAGAAAAAGGGGAGATGGATGCGCATATAATGACACGTCGTTATAACGCGCGTTTTAATTGCCTCAAGATAATAAATGCATACTGTCGCTCGTTCGCGAGCATGCCTTGCGCTCGTGTGCGATAATCTCTTTGTCCGAAGAGCTCTCTTTATCTCTCTTTCTCTCTCTCTCTCTCTCTCTCTCTCTCTCTCTCTCTTTTATCTCTCGTCTCATGAAATCTTTGCGCATGCAGATTCAACGTTCGTTTCATCAAGCTTATTTACACGGCGCGGCCTTGAAAAACCGTTAAAACACTAGCCAACTACAAATTACGTAAGGACAGGCACAGCGCGGCGATTTATATTTCAACTTGGCAGAAATTAATTTTCTACATTTATGCGACATGCGACCTGTGCCGAAATTAATTTATAAATATGTTCTTTTCATAAAATTGCATTAACAGGAAAAGGTATACTGTCAATAGTGAAATTTGTTTGTCTGTGGAAACATTTGATTAAAATACTTGAATATTATATATGACTTTAGAAAGTTTCAATCTTCATACAAATTACAATGTTATCAGGCAACGTGCTTCGCACTTATACAATCTGAAGACCAAGTTTCACCGACTAAATGACGAATACGTGCAAATGGCTACGTCTTTTATTAATCACACCGTCCGATATACTTTCCAAAGCGATTTGGGCTTTTTACCTTCCGCTCAGTGTTGACAGTTCCGACTGCACTATGTGACGTTGAAAGACATGTGCGCTGTGTGCGAATCAGTATCGAGATAATTTAGAGCTAATTTTCCGACAACGGGAGTTCCATCGGCACTTTGTTACTCGTTACCGCGAGTAATCGCAGAAATGTGAAGACACTGACGATACCTCTATATTGATAACCTGGTAATACATCCCGACGGTAAGAGGCTATCTCGTGCAACCTCGTTATGTTAACGCCATGTCATCCAACCTTGAGAGGCATTTCAAATATTTAGCAAGTCATTGCGCAACGCTCTTCGATCCACCTGATGAATCTACGTTCAGCCGAGCGCCGTGATCTCGACAAATTAACTGCGGCGATACGCAGCTCGTACCGCGCTAAGTTGTCGGGACAAGTTTCGCGCGTATTTCGAGACGGAGACAGAGACAGAGAGAGAGAGAGAGAGAGAGAGAGAGAGAGAGACTTACTTAACGCGCAGCTTCACCGCACGCGGCATCGGACACAAATAACGCCGTCACCGCGCTCGAATACGTACGTACGCCGCATTATTAAGGTCATCAGCTGCTTCTGCTTGCCTGCTTGCTTGCTTGCTTGCTTGGTCAAGTACAGATGATTGACGTAATGCGACGATCATTGTGCGTGAGAGAGCTCGTGGTCGGATTGGGCCGTCTAACGAAACTGTTTTTACGGAGCGCGCCTAGACGCTCGAGCCTGCCAACTCGAAACTGCCTACACGAATCGCGAAATTAAAATTTCACGGGCATTTGATTTTTTTTTCTTCTTTTCTTTTTTAACTGTGAATTTTGTGCGTTCACCCTCCAAGAGTACCGTAGTGGTACCATCCGAGACTTGCAAAATTCGAGGAACGCTGCTTTTTTTCGAGTTTTGACTCCAAATCTGAATATTGTTGGTTTCGAATTTTGTTTGGAATCTTTCACCTTTGCGATCTTCCTCGAGATTCAAGAGAAATTTCGAATGGCGCCACTACGTGGCCTTCCGTGGCCAGGAGAAACCGGCGGCCATTGATAAGCACTCTCGTTATCTGTCACGTTCGTGTATGTGCTGCACGACGTAGCTTAATATCCGTGACTAAAGGGATATCCGGCCTGAAAGAGCCCGTGTACGACGTCATGGACGTTTGCAAGATCATCCGTGCATTAGTGAAATGGAATGAAATTACGAGTTGTCTACGTAATGTGTACTCGTACGAGAGAGGAGAGGTCTTAAAGACCTTTCAATGAATTAAGTATTAATGGTGTGTACGATAATCGGCTGCCTGCTAATGCGTAACGTCTAACGACGGGGGAAATTACGTGGTGAGGGAAATTTTTTCTCTCCGGAGTGTGATCGAGGCGCGTGCACACATTCACACACGCGCATAGATATGCATCTCGCGGGAATTATGTGAACTTCTAAATGCGGCAATGATTCGCACGGCGAACGATTACGTAATGTGTTTCCTCAAGTTACCAAACATGTCTGCGGTGTCTCTATTCCTGCCATAAATTTATCGCTGAATAATCAATTAACCGTAATGATGATGTGTCATCTTCTCATTAGGAAGAAGGAAAAGCTTCTCGGAAGTCATTTATATTAAACTCGTGTCTAATTGATATCTTTCGCTTTACAACTCGTATCACGATATCGAAACAATTATGCATCTAGCGACACATGAATTCCGGGAAATAATCTCAAAATCCTTCGGATCAAGGAGCATAATTCAAATTCATTTGTATCATCTAATGACGACTGATAAGAAACATCCCGTTTCTTTCAATTGCACCGCCCTTTACTTTTACTACCGGACTGATTCGCGTTTCAAGCGCGGCACGCGTCATATTCCATGGCATCTCGTCCTGAATTCTTCAGACAACGCCTTTAAATATGTGCTAAATTGTGATATTTGCGCAAGTCGACAGCACGTGAACCCCTCGCCAAATGTCCCCCGCGCGTTCGTCACCGCTATAAAGGGCAAACGTCGAAACATCATCGTTAATAACGACGCAATGTTGTCTTATATTTGCAGGCGTGCGCGCCCAGATACACCTGGTTCTCCATGCAACAGCCGAGGTATGATCCTCATAGTAACATGAGCAAGGAATCCACAGCGGGCAACAGAATAGAGCCAGTGGGTACCTGTTGGGTCGCCATCAACAACTTCAACGAGTCCCGCGAGTTCTCTCCTTGCCGCACGAGTAAGTTTCTTCATCGTAGAATCTTTCGCAGTACGTGTCTCAGCAGACGGGTGCTTTCTCTCGCCTAGCGAATTCTCCTCGTATGTGGCCAGCGTTCATTCGGCAAGCAAGTCAAATTCAGAACGAAGGCAGTCTTCCACTGTGGGAGACGATCGGAGTGGAAGACAGGTTGCGATATTTTTGGTGAACCCCAGGATGCGTCCGGTAGCGACGGTAGCAGCAAAATGTATCCCGTGACATTTGCTGAAAATATTGTCCTATTGGATGGACGAAGGCGTGGCGAAAGTCGTTGAAAAGAAAATTGCTGCCACTTCTTCTCCACCAGGACTATACCTGTCGTCCAGTCCGGGTCTCGACGAGAACGTCGTCCTCATCGTACTTCAGTATCTGCGCTCCAGAGATGGTGCACGGCTTCCAGCCGGCAGACTCATCCACTTGGATTGTTAACAAAACGACCGCGCTCGCTCCGTGGCTTCCGTTACTAACGAAAACGATTTCGCTGCAAAGCAAACGGACCGATCCACCGGCGAATGTTTAATCTCCACTCTCGCCTTCGTCCTCATCGTCGTCGTCGGTATCGAACTCTTGTCGAGGGCGGCGGTACGATTTATAGTGCGCGGCTCGTGTCGTCGCGCTGAATATAGCACGGTTTACGAGAAAGAACGAACGCGAGAGGATATCTTGAGGATTTTTGTGCGCGTCTGCTTTCGCCGGGCGTTATAAACAGTTGTAAACAGGCAGCGCCGAAGACATCCTCCAAACGACACGAGAGGATAGCATGCCTCGCGTCTCAAGGTAAATCCTTCTCGTCCTTCTTCACGAGGATCCTACAAGACGAAGCGTCCGGCGCGACAAGGGGCAACGAGTATCCCCGGCCCGACATATGGTCGTGTCTTGGAAGTATAGCGACCATAAATACGCCACGTAACAGGATACTTCCTGCCGACCACGTAGGTCCGCCTCGTACTTTAATGACAAAGGACATATCGACTTTCGGCACCGCCTCGCCCATCCCGCGACGATTTATAGACATATCGGGTCTAATTAGCGATGATCTCAGTACTTACATCAGCGAGCGCTGAGTGGTCTATACCTCGAGAACGAAAACACATCTAACGATCTTGAGTTATACATTGAGACAGTAGCTTCAACGCAACGCGAAACGAGCTAGGGAGACTTCAAGCGGAAAAGACGGAAGGAGGAGAGTGAAGTTCGAACGATACGAAATAGCGGGAACGAAGCTCCGATTAGACGATATTTGCGCCCGATTCAAGCCAGGAAAGTCTAAACAATAAATGTTAATCTAAAAATATTAAAATTACTACTCTGCTAGATACTTGAAATTATACCCGTCGATATACGCGGGTTTTTTGGGATTCATCTTATTATTTACATTTAACCCTTTAACTGCTACGGTCGAGATAACTCGAGTGTGGGAAAAAATGGCGGCCTTGCTACGATCGAGTTTACTCGATTTGGACTTTCAATGTCATAGATTATAATAAAATATGTGTATATATGTACATTTTTGCATGATCTTATATCATTATAAAATATTTTTTATAATTGTAAAAATAACTCAGCAAAGAGGGTTATACAGGGTCATTTAGTATCTCAGCAGTTAAAGGGTTAAGGGTGTAACACAAGTACTTGTCGTTTCCAAACAAAAGAATGTTCTGTTTTTCTCCTGACGATAACCTGATACAACGACCCGACAACATTCCTCACAATGTTTTCACATTTTTCTTTTATCTCGCGATTTATCTCGCTACAATTTAGGAGTATTTTTCTCGGTCGAGCCATTTTCGTGTAAGTTTCATCGCCTGTCTCTTCAAAAATTGCAGCATCTCGGCACTGTGTTTGTTTTACAAGTTATCCGTAGAAATGTCACTGGTGAACGATACAATTTGCATCGCCGTGACTCGAGACCCTCCTTTGCGAGGGCGCGAAAATAACATCTCGTGTTTGTTTTTAGAATCGCGTTTTCCTCCACTTGTTAAAGTCGCGCGTTTCCTCGCTTCGCACAAGTGTTTCGGCAACCTTCGTGGCGCTTGCGCGCGCGCGTACTTTATGGCGTACGAAGTGACGCACTTCCGGTCGTTTAGCCGGAAGACTTGAATATCCGTTTCTCGTGTAAACCGAACAGCGTGAATTTAAATAATCTGACTGACGAGGAAACACTTGGAGATGCCCCTCGTCGATTTTGGACTTGGAATACATTGTAGAGCAACTGAGAATAACGGACACGTATCTTTTTATTACCCCTTATTATTTATTACCCCTTCTTTTATAACCCTTTATTTTAACCCTTGAAACAACCCCTCGAACTCGACAAAATTGTTTAGGAGCGAGTATTCTCGAAGTCGCGAAGCGACTATGAGAGCAAAATATCGCCGTAAACAACTCCTGGTGCTCTTTACAATCGCGTAGATTTTTTACAAATATCGTTTTTCAATCCTCCTACGACACTCTTAACAAATTTCAATGCGGGAAGAAGGACACTACCACATGTTTCTTGGTGAGTCAACTGGGGTATAACCGACACGTCCGTGTAAATGGAGCAAAGAAACAAAACTAAGCGTAACAAGACGACACTGCGAAACAACTGAAAAAATCCCCACTGCACTGTGAGTGATGTCAGCAGGCTACGCGTATACTCTGGCCGCTTTCCAGATAAATATTATCATAATTCACCGAAGTGGCCGGTCACGAAATCTTCGCGGAACGAACATGAAGTACGGAAGCACGAACGTGCCGTCTCGACGACGTGAGCTCATCGTCCAGAAATTCCGCGACGGCCGCGCAATTAAACAATTTGTAGGAGCCAAGTCAAACGTTACAAACGACTCGCTCTGCCTCTCTTCCCGAGAATCGTAGAGAGACTTTTTAATCGTTGAGTCGTCGCTTCTTGCCCGATTGTGGCATCGATGTTACGGCGTTACTTTATCGCGCAACTTTTCGTCGCCTTTTCCAGCGGCATTAAATCACTTTTCTTTTTCCCCCCCCCCTCTCTCTCTCTCTCTCTCTCTCTCTCTCTCTCTCTCTCTCTCTCTCTCTCTCTCTCTCTCTCTCTTTTCTCGACTCTCTCGCACGTTGTTATCTACCGAATAAGCACAAGCGAAAGCAAACTCCTATAGGTAGCTCTCAGCGTCAGTCGTCTCTGGTGTATTTCAGCGTACGTGACGATCATACGAGAGAAAGAAAGAGGGAAGAAGCAGCGGCGAATTGCATTAAGCGCATTCCTCGATGAAAGGCGCCCACTCGTCCGAACAACTAAGAGAAGCATCGGAAAAAGAAAAATAATAATTAGAAGGCGCCTCGGACCAAGCACTAACTCGGCACCGTTCTAACGAGGCCAATTAGCACTTGATCCTACTTGGATAACGATCGAGCTACCGATCTGCAACGAACGACCGCGTGTCTCTTCTCTCTCGTTATTACCATTCTAATGGAACATTTCTCTTTCCAAACCATCCGTGTGCTGTCACATCACATGCATTCTTTATCTAATATAAAGAGAAGGGAAATGTAGCGCGATTTCCCTAGAGCAAAATTTCTGAAATAATTGCGATAGATGTTTAATAGTTATAGAACGGTTAATTAATTAATTTCATGGTCAATGGTTATTAAGGTTATTAAATCTTCAGTCAAGTGAAACGTCTTAATAGATTAATCGAGAGCGTTTTTGTGGCTTAACGTACTAAAAATCATATAGATAAAAATCAAATTTTCTTAATGAAAAGCAACAAATTAATCATTCGCGACGATCAACCTGTATCGGCTATCATCAGCCTGTTAAAATAGTTTTTACTCGATTAATTTGTATTTTAAGGTACAAATGACCACAATTAGTTGAATATCAAAATTCGACGATTTTTATTGTAAAATCGACATGCTAGCGCTGATAACGAACACATCGCGGTCACCCTATTTCTAAATGAAAGAAGTGACCCGATAATGCACATTCAGGGTACGTAATCGCGCACCGACGCACTCATACATGCGACTGGGATGAGAATTACAGTAGCTCCATTCATTCCTCGTAACTCGATTAAGGGTCAGCCATACAACGCAATCGCTAACTCGTCTCCTGTAGTGCTCCGATTTCTTTATTAGACGTTTCACCGTTGATGAGCAAAATCGCTCTCGGTTCGCTACGTCGTATTTTTATGTTCGCTACAAGCCGTTCCAAAACTATCGTATCAATACTTCAACAGATCATCCTAGAGTTTAATCGGTATCGAGAATCGTAGTACAAAAATGTCAAGATCACGATAATTACGAGCGAATGAAATCAACTTTTGTTTTTGGGTGCTCAAACTCGCAACTACGTAACGATTTGTATTAATTTATTAATTTTTGCTGCCCAGTTGATGATAATTTTTCTAACTCAACTATTTTTCTATCTCTCGTATTTCATACGATCATATATGCTTACGATGATGAAAAATGAAATGAGCGCGAAAGGCTCTGAATTCGAAACAGTTACGAAGGAACACGCGTGCAACAACATTAAATCACCCGACGATGCATCCGAGACTCGTCGAAATCAGAAATCAGAAAGGAAGAGTCACGAGCGTTTCCTTGTCAGATAGGAGAAGGTTCTCCTCCACTTGTCGTTGATGCCGACTCGTGTTCGAGAGCGGAGTGGCCTCTTACCGACGAGAATAGCACCCTCGCAAAGCGCGAAGAGGAGACGGATTATAAATAGATCCGACCACTGACGATATCGCGGTCGGACGCATCCGTTGTTGCTCCACAGATGAATAACGATTATCACGATACGCCGATAGTCATTCGAATCGACCGTTCGACCGAATCAAGTTGACCCAAGTTGACCCCGGGTCATGTTGATTATACATTTCGTTCACGTACCTTGATCCGAGAGAGACGGTAGAAAAGGAATCGCGCAGATTGCTTTAGGACATAAATACCTCTTCTCGCATTCTGAAAGCAATGTTTCGCAACTCTTTCTCCACCTTTCGCAATTCCTCTGAAATTAATTTCAACATTGCATCAAATAGTGACCAACCCGGTTCCGAGATTGCTTCGCTTTTTACTCCGAACAGCTCTCATATCCCATAAGAGGAACATTTCGCGATTTCTCCTCCACAACAAATCTTCTCCCACAACAAATTCGTAAACGGACGTTGTCACGGCCAACACATGACAATTAGGCCGACCTGACCTATTGTCCCTACTGCCCGTTACATTTGCACACGGAATGATGCTGAGAAGCGGCGGACACACACGTAAAGTAACCGATGTTGAGCGAGTGGCGCCGGCCGCTAGCTTTATATCTGCTTTTTCGTGGCGCGATGCGACCGGATCGCCGCCGGTCGAGGACGGTGAACGACGTCGAAGACGAAGACAACGACCGGATTGATGTAATTGCGTGACTGACAGCTCGTCCGAAGTGACCGATCGGCTGTCAAGGGGCCCTCCGTCGCGCTCATAACGTATGTACGTGCGCTTATGTAGAAGAAGGCCGGATCCTATGGGACGGCAGCCACCAGCCACCGGATATTCTCTCACACACACACGCGACCACACTGGCGTGTAACGTTTTCTTACGAGCGCGGCTGCAGCCCATCGGAATGGCACTGACCCTGTCGGCCGGCTTCTGTCGGCCTGTGGCCTGATAATTTGCTACTCGCACTCGGTTAGCGCACCGACGACTAATTGCGAGCGACCGTCGGCGGATGTCAGTGTGCGATTCACGGCTCCGCGATTTTTACGTCGCCGTCACGAGGCGACGCTCGGCTTCGCGTAATTGTAAATAAAAAGAACAAAAAACCGATGAGGCTTATCGATCGATGAAAAGAGTAGAGGCGTGACTGTCTGCGGCGGCGGCCGAGTCGAAAGAATTTCGACGAAAGCAACGTTAAGCTGTCGTTAGTGTCTGTCGTATCTGAAAGTACTGTCGCGTTATCTAGTTAACGAGCTGGGATATATTCAGCCGCTATTTCCTCGGGCGCGTTGTTCACGATCCGTCGTTGATCCTTCTTTCTTTCTTTCTTTCTTTCTTTCTTTCTTTCTCTCTTTCTCTCTTTCTCTCTCTCTCTCTCCTTCTCTCCTGCTGCTCGAGCGGGGAAAACGAATCGCGAAGGCGTTACGGCGGAAGATCGATCTGGAATTAATGACGCGTGCGTGTGCGCGCTGCTTTTGCTCGTGCGGCCGCGTCTTTTAAACCGCGTCTTTTAAAGCGAGCGCCAGCTCCGTTTCCTAGCAGATTACGTGTGAACACACATTCGGGAAGACATTTTCCCTGTCGTTCGCAGAATTATCGCTCCTACCGCCGCCCCGACTCCTGACTCTTAACTGACGATTAGAAAAAATGTTACGACAAACATTGCAACGAAAGAAAAAGATAATTGCCGAGATAGAAGCCGTCTCCCTTCGCCCCGACTCGATGTAATCAGTAATTTGTGATTTGTTAATTTGTTTCAGGGTTCTGGGGCTATCACAGGCAAGGTTATTGCCAAGCTGGTTTAGCTGCCGCGATATCTAAGGTAAGTCAAAGACACATTGAATCTTCTCTCTCGCTCTGACGAATGAACAAAGCGTGGGGAAACCATGCTTCCCTACGGAGGTTCGATCCTCCGAATCAAATTTCGCTCACGAGTGAATTCAGTGAACGCTCAGTGATTATCTTAATAGAAATACACATTTATTGATTCAGTCAAAAATCGGCGTTTTCGCCGATTCATTTTAAGAACATCACGTCCTCCTTTATATTTCGTCTCCGGGCTATTTAATAATCCGTTTCCTGAGAGAAGCTAAGCACCTGCTTGTTACATCGCGATAACGTCATCCTCAAGGTACAGTCCCCCAGTCTCGACATTCCAAATCTATACATAAAAACTCGCGATCGTCGGTTCTGGTGGTAACCGCGAAAGCGCATCGCTCCAATGTAAATACGGTAAGCTCCGTCGCCAGCGTATCGGCGCTGGCGACGTGCCGAAAGAAGACTTAGAAGGCGACACCAGGGGGGTCGGCCAGGGCCGAATATGGCCAGGAATGCGAATTCCTGCCTTACGCACCTCGTCGTTCCGGGCATTCGTATTCGTGGCATGGCGCATCCGCGCGGAACTCCGCGTCGGGCCTTTCCCGTATACGATTGTCTTGTCCTCGTCGCCCGACGTATTCTCGCGGTGCCCGCCGCCCGCCGTCGCCGAAGATCGGGTGCAGATCGAGGCTTTTGCTCGTTTTCGACCCGCATCGAAGCCGCGGATCTGCGGATACGCCTACGGACGTTGTTCGCACCTGTACTCACCGACGCCCCGCGCATCGATGCCCTTCTTCGTCGGCGCGACCGATAAGTATCAGCGAGCCGTCGACAATCGGCAGCCGCCGCGACTTTCACCCGCCGCTCCCGCACACACCGGTCGCTTCCGGTCGCTGATGGAAAAAAATGTCACGACGAAAGGTCTCGTCGCGAATCGTGTGCGAGCTGATCCCCTTGGTGGTGCGGGAAACCCCGCACGCGCGAGGCTCCTTTCTTCGTGGCGATCGCGGTGCAACGCGGGTAACGTTATCGCGCGGCAGGACGGTTTCGATTGCCCGCCAAAGAAATAGTGGGATAATTCCGCGGCTGGCTCTCTCGGCTGGCTGACTGGCCGGCTGGTAATCTCGCCACGGATGTATAATTCAGAATTGCGCGACTATATGCGGCGGATGTTTAATGCATGTCGCGAATCGTAGCCGATTCCTAGCTCCGTTTCAGCATTCAATGTTAATATTACGCCCGCGCTCAATTCCGATCGCGCATACTCGCCCACATGGTATATATTGCGAATATATCCGCAATTGCGATCGTTTCAAGATTGACGATTATTAGCACACATGGGTCGTCAAGTACGAGTCATCTCTGGCATGCGAAGAGAATCCTCCGCTCCGTTTTTGGGAGCCTTTGGCGGTCAGCGTGTTAACAATCGGAACGGGCTCGATTAAATTTAGCCTCTCTCGCCGGATAAAGCCGTATTACCGTTCTCGGCCGACCGTTCCTTCCCGTCTCTTTTCGGAAAACAAACGCCATTGTACGGCGACCGGGATGTCGCGTGCGCCAAATCCTCCTTCCTCCCCCACAGCGTGATTTAGAGGGCCTCTCGACGCCATCGAGCACACGATCGACCATCGATCTTCGCGTTAAACCGCCGTTGCTGGTAGCGAGCTCTGTCTGTATGCCGCGACTTATCCACCGAACGATCTATATAAGATCGATCGATAGCCGATCGGTATCAATCGATTTGATGCGGCTCTCGACTCAACTTCCTGCGTGCGCGACTGCGACCCTCGCGATTCGACGCTTGAAATACAAGTTCCCGGGACCCTCTCTCTCTCTCTCTCTCTCTCTTTCTCTCTCTCTCTCTCTCTCTCTCTCTCTCTCTTTCTTTATCTTTCTTCCTGTCTTTCTCCCCTACGAATCTATTTTTATTCCAACCAAACTTTCTCGTGGAGAGAAATCGTTCTACGTTAGATTCGAGGTAAATCGATTGGCAAGATCTCTCGGAGATCTATGTCCGTACGGATAAACGGAGAGAGTGCAAGCACGATTAGAGAGAAAGGAAGATACATATCGAGCTGTGTATCTTTGCGGCTATTTTATGACTGCTGCAATTTTCCGTCCCTCCGTGCTGCGCACTCACTCTCTTTATCGAGGATTTAGTTTGACTAATTATACTGTGAACGATTCATCTCGCAAGTATGAGAAGTTCGTAAAGTTTCTTCCACGTGAACAAATCTTGGGCACAAAGGTCCCGATATTACAGTGAATGTTATTGTAAATGAAAAATTATATACACAACCACTGAAATGGATAAGTCGATATTTATTGACCAGTCATATCGCTGCTTTCTCTTTGTCATAACCTCAGAGTCTATAAGAGTTTAAGGTTGAGTTTATTAACCCCTTCATTATCTTAAGAGTCACCAATGTTTCTCTTCTTCTACTCCCCCGTAAATAGTGATATCGTGAAAGAATATGGAAAGTGGCAGCTGTATCGCGACTTTATCTAATCTCGACGCACCCTCATAACTCAAGACACCCATCATGTTCGCGCGCTCTCGCGAGCGAGCTATGGGAGGGGAAAGAAAATAGCTCGAAATTTCGTGGAACAGAGAGAGGGAAGGGTAGAGAAAGTAAGAAAAAAACACTCGTTTGTCTCGCGCTCGCAGGCATCAGCCGTCTCGCGTCTATCACGCGTGCACGCATCAGCGTGCCTCGCTCGTAACAGTTTCTTGCTTTGTCAGTACCTCGCACACCGCCGCGGCCGCCTCCGAGCCCCCAGTTTCTTGCAGAGCGACGGTACACAATCTCCCGACGGCATTCGGGCAGAGTGCACTTAACCGCAGCACACTTACAAGCGTATGCGTTTGTACACGCATACCCGCTGGCTGAAATTTCACCATGCCCCTCCCCCGCCCTCCACGAACGCGGGATACATATCGCAGGTCGCGCGCGCGCGCGGTTATATTTCAATCTCAGATGGGGGGGGCCCCGTACATATCCCCTCTGCAACTCTCTCAGGGCCCCTCCGCTTCCTCCAACCCTTCGCTCGACTTCCACCAACCCTTTTCGATCGGCGCCAGAACACAACTCGTGCCGGTCGTGCCGCGTGTGTCGCGAGACCGCTATTGTCTCGGTTGCAAATTTTTCGCGTGTATCAGCACCGGGATGACTCCGCCTTTCTTCTCCGGGTCCCTCTGCCCCAAAGCTCCAGGGGGTACATCTTGTAGACTTACCTTCGCCTCCTCTGTCCTCTCGCGGGGCTCTCGCCGACTCCTCCGCGCGTAGCACGACGAGCACTCGACGACAAATGCTCGTATTTGCTCGCGCTACCATCCGGCTAATCCGTTCGACAGGGTCCACTGGAATGACCGACGGAACGGAAAAATTGTCCGACACATATTTCAACGTGATCGAGCGCCATGTTATCTTCTGTATCTGGCTGACGCGAGTTTCCGCGGAGTTTCCTCTCGTTTTATTACCCCAACCGGGAATAATTTATAATTGCTGATTTATCGCGACTATATGCAGCAATAATATCGATTAACTACGGTATAATTACGGTCCGTAATATAGTACTTGATAAATAATTTGTGAAATTATTCTGAGATTTAACGGAGTGCAGTGATATAGATATTATAATTATTAATTGTACTATTTCTAGTTTGAGATATAATAAACCAAACTTTTGATTCGAAATCGGACATTTTATACTTAACGACCTAACAGTATTGTAAGTAGCGAGAGTGTAAGTAGCGCGCAGTTGGCGATATTGTAAGCAATTGGACTTCTCTCTGACTCGCGTTACAACAGCATTAAACGTGTTAATCCGCCGTTCGTCGGTCCCCTGCATTTATCTTAATCACTTCCCACGCGTAACGCGGTAGCGCATCGATCATAGTCTCCTCCGACTCGCTCGCGGTGAGTCATGAGCCGAAAGACGAGCGTAGAGTCAGAGAGCCGGCCCAACCTCTGATTCATCTCTCTCGCGACGCGTCGAAAAATTCATTCTTCAAGTTCGGCCGGCGGAACGGTGGCTTTTCACTCGGTTCGGCAGCGAGGGGCACAGATGGATGGCGACCGAGTGCAAAAGTTACGGCTGTCGCATTCGATTGCACCCGCGCCGAGCCGATCGAGTACATCGGGACACCGCTCTGCTGGGCGTGCACGTGACTCGCTCGCACGTTTGACATTGTTGGCCAACGAGGAGGGCCCATTGTTCCCGTGCAAATCGCGAATCGTCCTGCGTCCCGACTTGCGGCTCGCAAATAATAACATTCGCGAGACGACGAACGAGCGATCGCATCGCCAGAAACCTGGCGCCACCCTAAATCGTCTGCACGTCTTATCGATTCGGCCAACGCCTGACAGCTCGAATGTTGACCCGTTTGGCGAAAAAACAAAAATAATAGAGCTCCGCTCGCTTCGTATATCCCGGGTTCAACGCGGAGAATTTGTCGACGCCGCCCGGTTTGGTACAGCGACAAGAAGGAGGGAGAGAGAAAGAGAGAAAGAGGAATGCAGCGGATATGTTTTCGCTGGTTTCTGATAAGCAATCGCGAGTCCATTAGGACCAACGCGGCCTGTGATTGCGCCGACAGTCGTGTTACGAACGATGACACCGCGCTGTAACTCCACCGGAACCGAAAGTTTACCGCTGCCGAGTTGTTATATCCGCATCGGATTTTTCTCGGACGGCTACGAGGTGAAAAATGTCGGCTTGTGTATCAAATTGTTTCGAAACTCCCAATGAATTTTCCAGTCGAAAGTCCGAAATTATTTACTATTTAATACATTATTTTCGACACGTTGTTCAATATAATCCAAAGTAATGTACGAAAGCCAAAGAGAATGTCAGCGAATAATAAAAGAGGTCGGGAAATATTTGCATTAACTTTCTATTTATTTTTTATATGTGAGAAAAACAATAGGAAAAAAATTTTAAACATCCTTTCTGGAACACAGATACTTTTGTGAGATTCTTGAAGATCAAAGAAATATTGCAACCGAAAGGGAGAGAAATTTCAAAATATCTCTGTCGTAAATTTCTTTAGAATATATAAAACATTTTTCCCGGAGATTCACGGAAATTAATATCGCAGAAGAAATATCGCAGTTAAAGGAGAAAAAAAGTCTCTGTATCGTTCCTGTGTCTAGTGAATCGCAGTTGATTGTCCAAAAAGTTTTTGAACTTGCTTCTTGGGCGTTTCGGAAAACCGCGATGCGGAGAGGAGTTTCCTCCGCGGAGAAAAATGCGTCGCGTCGTAGAACGGACTTTTCACTACGACACCGATACTCACCGGCTGTCCGTCCGCTTATCTGTTCGTCCGCCAACAAGTCCGTAATCATGATGGACATCCATGTCCACCGGTATCCCGTTCAAGCGAAGCTCGACTAAAACAGCCGTTATCGCGTCGCCGGAGAACGATACGACATCCTGGCGCGGAAAAATCGACGTCGAAGGAGAGAGACTCCTCGTCATGCGCGCGCCTTTTAAACGTGCGTACGCGCACGCATATACGCGCGATGTTTCGCCGATCGCGCCGAGGAGAAAATCGCGACGGGGGAGAGACAGAAGTGAAGGGGGAAGAGCAACCGCGGTCTGAACAGCGGGAGAGTTTCAGGTGGCCATTTAAGGCTCGGACATTTCGTTCTGTCACCGTGTTCCGTGTTCAGCGTTGTGCGACGCCGCAAGGAGTCCGGCCACCTACGCACCGGTGGTCCATTCTCTCTCTTTCTCTCTCTCTCTCTCTCTCTCTCCTCTCTTTACCTTCTCGACGGTTGCATTGTTTTATAAACGGCTGCCGTTTCTCATGATAAGCAGAGTAAAACAAAGTTAGACGCGCTCCTACCTTGTCGTCGTTCGCGGCGCGTCACCCTCGCTGTTCGCCCCTCTACTACCGTCAGCCTCTTCCTCGGCAGCTTCAGTCTTCCGGTCAGGAATCGCGAGATAATAACAACCCGCGACGTGGAAAAATTCTCGCCGGGTATTATGCCGTGCATTTTACGCCTAGAAATGCGTACATTCGCTCGTACCCCTCCCCCGTGTAATCTCGTCCGCTCCGCTGCATGTGTGCATGTGTGTCTAGAGTTACGGAAAATAATCCCGCAATTTTACGCTCGTCGACAGTACAAAACAACCGTGACCATAATCTAATAATCCCCGGTAACATTATTCATCGCAATTACGAGATATCGCGTGTCGCGTAGGGTGAGTGCGCCGCCGCCGCCGCCGCCGCCGCCGCCACGTAAAAATGGAATCTCGTGTTACACGCTTTCATCCGCGTTGCGTTCTCCTTCTTTCGCGGCGTACTCGCATTAACGCTCCTACCTTTCCTCGCACTCTGCCTCTTTCTCTCTCTCTCTCTCTCTCTCTTTCTCTTTTCCCATTTAATCCATAGAAATTGCATCTTACTTCCCTGCAGCGGCGGATCCTTCGCGTGGGTGAGCATATCCGCGCGTGGGTGCATCCCAAGAGAGTGTAACGACATTGTCACGCGGTTAACACTTTGATCCCGGCGACATTTGAACGATAACTTGGCGGATATCAAGTAAATTGATAGAATCTTCTTTCGCGTAAACTTTCTACAACCGCATTTTCATGTTTCATTTTGTACAGATATCTCCACTAATTATATATACATATATATGTATATAATTAATTAATGATGCATATATGTGTGAAATTGATTTTCCGCTTCGTAGCATTTGGATCTCTGCTCTTTTCGCGAATATGTAATTGCATAAATGTTAAACATATCGATAACATATAATCTCGGGTGAGAGCGTCGCTCTCATAAATAAATTTCGCTTGCCGCGAGCACAATTTTAATATCGTTTTAAAAGAGCATTCAGTAGGCAGTGACTTCGTTTTCGACAAGGAGGAGGGAACAAGCGCGACTCGATCTGAAAGTATAATCGCGCAAAAGTAGCCAACATTTCCCGTTCCATTTTCTATCTGTCGTCATCCATATTGCATGATCTTATCGTGGAATGCGCCCGCGCGCGCATTTCAGCTCTCTTATGATCATTCATGTAAACCCGTCGATTAATATGTATGCGAGAGTCTGTGTGATCTTTGTTACTTCGGCACCGCCGTTACGTGGCTGTGCGTGGGAGTTACACCGTTACGATACTCGTAAACTTATTGGCGGTGCACAGGCGTGTGAGATGGTTCGCAGGGTCGCGACCTCGGCGCCGAGGACTCCGGCTAATTTTTACCGCGGGAACATAACATACCGCGTCCCTCGATCGCTCCTGCGAATTTCTTTACGCGATTTCCTCCGCCTCGCGTTATTCGCACTGCAAGATTTCGAACAATTCCTTGCGTCGGTTCGTTGTTAGACGAATTTTCACGAGTTCGTTTTTCAATTTGACGTGTACGTGAAACGTGAAACGTGAATCCTTCTCGTATGAGAAACACGCTAACTGCGTGTCGACTTTCGATACACGCTGCATGGGAATGACAAGCGCAAAGGGTCAACAGTGTTGAGTATGTCGACAATTTCGAGAGCCACTCGAGTTCTCACGTACCAATTCAACCGAGGTCTTACATCGCAGACTGTGCGTACATGTGCGTACGCGTGCGTGAGCCTCTCGAGATGGTTTCTCTATCGCGAAGAGAGAGAGAGAGAGAGAGAGAGAGAGAGAAAGAGAGAGAGAGAGAGCGTTTAATAATTCTTCCGCCGGGAGGAGATATCCCGTTCCGGAAAACAAACGAAAATAAATACGATATTTATTCAGTGGCAACGCAAATGGGACTCTTGGCTTATACACTGTGTGTCACATTTCCGTTCCGCAAAGTAGCTCATTCGTTATGTCTGGCCTTTCACGGGCACGCTGAAACGCAGTACATCGATTTTTCCACGCCTCCGCTCCGGCTGTGTGCCTTTTTGGAGTGCGTTGTCAAGTGACCGCGAGTTACGACGCGCGTACGCGTATCGTCGGCGCTGTCGCCCGTTCGCGGCGCGACACGCGGTTGCACGCCGCGCGCTTGTGACGATTAATAATTTTTGCGCGGCCACAAAGAAATCTCCGCCGGACGGCGGCGGGTTGGTAGCAGCGCGTCGCGCTGTGAGCGCCAGACAAATGTCGCACGACAAAAGCGCGGTTGCTTCTATTGCGAATCGCGGTCATAAATAATACGCATGCCGCCGCCGCGATGCATACACGATGTATGCGCGTGCGAATGTCCTCCGGTGGTGAGCTGCGCTGTGCCATGCTGTGCTGCACTCGACGTTCGCTGCGTCACTTGATTTTCATAGCTCGATGCACTTTTGTAATTACTTAGACAGTCGTGTAATTTAATTGCACGACATGGGGAGTACGAACCGTGCCTTTGCGAAATTTTCGATCGTTGTTGCCAAGCTAGCTCCTTCGCAAATAACGCAAATATGATCCGGACTTATTGCAAGATTTAGCGCTACCATTTAGCGCTATGTGTGCTAATTAATTGCTCCAGTTTCGATTTTTATATTTTTGGCGTGAATTTTCGGACTGTACGCGGTTCTCACGAGGCGAGGGAAGCACCTTCGCACATTATTCACATATCACTGTTGTAGAACGTTTTTTTTTTTGCTTTACGCGTCCAAATACCGTGTTCTTTTAGAGATGTCCTTTTCGTGTCTTGCGAAAAATGAAGAATATAATATGATATGAGAGCGATCGGTGAATTTACGTATATCGCAAGTTGGAAAAATTAGAAGCTGGTTTTATGAACGATGGTCACACAAAACCGAGATGTTTCGGAATCGAGAAAAGGAGGATGTTAAGAAATTGTAACTTTTGCCTCACGAGCAGAGTAAACATGAGAAAACCATGTTCCGCCATAATTTTTGATTCACTGAATCCAGTTTACTCGGAATTAATCAAAAGGACTCGAGTGTATCGGCAACGCTTCCTCACGCGGAGAAGAGCAGAAACTTATGCATAATTATTTTTTTATTTCTTTCAGAATGACGAAAGACTCTTCATAGGCGCGCCAGGATGTTGGTACTGGCAAGGTAAGACTCCCCCTCCACCGACGCTTCCCAAATTATCGTTTGCGAGTGATGTCTGCGTATATAGCCGCAGGGCGAATGCGAGAGAGCCGGCCGGAAAAAAATCTGTCGTTCAAGCTGGCGTGCATTATTTTCCCTTTTTTTTTATTCTCTCTTTTTCACGCGGTTGAATTTACGCGATCCGCGGCCGAATGGGAGCGGAACGAGGACGGACGTTTTGATTAGAGAGCGATGTTAGAGTGTGAGCGACTCCGCTGGGTCTTTACGAGTAATTTAGTGGGGAATTCCCTCTTAACAAATTGCAGGTCAGATATACTCGATCGCCACCGACATGAGGTTGAAGTTCGTGGCGTCGATGTTGTACACCTCCGAAGCCGAAGCACCAGGTACCGCGTATACACACGCAGGCGTCCCCCGTATTATTAAAATACGCCGCCCACTCCCACCCTCGCCCACACCCCCTCAACCCCCCTTGTTTCTAATAAGCTACCATTGTCTTCTCGTATTGACGATTTCTCTCACGTGGCAAGAATTAACAACACGTGTTGCTTGTGTTCGTAAGAGACGGCTTTTTTGTCCCGAGAGTGCGGAAGCTGACGTGACACGGCCGACGATAATAATGATTCGCGTTAATCGCGCACAACGAGGCAGAGCGCCTCCTCCGGTACGCCAGGTTTATCAGAATAACACGGGAGTATTCTCTCTCCCTTTTTACACTCGGTCTCTTTACACTTGCTTGGCAGTAACTCTTGATTATTTCTCGACATGCTTAACACGACGCTTGTTGACTTGTCGACCGTGATCGGCTGAACGGATCGAGTGTGACCGTGCGTCCGTTGAGGCTCGAAGAGATCCCCCATCGGGAGACAGGGCTCCTCTCGTTTGTCTTCTTCCGATCGGCGATCTGACAAATCGTGATGCGGCTTTTGCGCATTTTTGCACCTGGAACGTGCGAAAATCGCTCAGCTGCCGGCAGCGTGACTCATTTCCTCCCTTTTAATTACTGCCAGATAAGTGATGGGTGACTATTTCTAACAGGTGCAGGCCCGCTTTTATTACAGCTTCGGCACAGTCGCAGTCGCAGCGAGAGTCGCGGTAATACGGATCCAACTAGAAAGCTATAATATATCCTTTAATCGGCTGGAGAGTTTGCGCCAACACTGCTACATAGTGACGATCGCTTGACATTAATAGCGATACATAATGAGAGTTAATGTCATCATCGACGATGTCGTACGCCGCTTAGATGCTAGATTAATAATAATAATAATAATAATAATAATAATAATAATAATAATAATAATATTATTATTAATAATAATATAATAGATGAGCAGCTTATCATTCCCGTGTTTATTTCTGTCGTTCTCACGCAATCTCGTGTGCAAAATTATGCAAATATATATGCACACCCGTTACACACATTCTTTCTCTCTTCTTTTTTCGATTGGTGTGAAAAGTAATTCGTTCAGAGGGTGTCTTGCACAGTTCCGATTCATTGAGTGCGCATTCGAGTGCAGCGAGATTTTGTGGAACGACTTGTGCGATTTCTCGACCGCAGCGAAGGCCCGACGGCCTTTAAACAATTCTCGGCTGCGGTCGCGGCCACGAAAACATCTGCCTTTCCATCGACACGCGTCCCCTGGGATCTTCCTCTCGTTAACGGCACGCGGATTTCTTTCGTAGGACAAGCGATTTCGCAACCCTTGAACAACGACTCCAAGGTCATGTCTACGAAAGAGGGCCCCGCCGAGGAGGACGATAGCTACTTGGGTTACTCGGTCACTGCGGGAGACTTCGTCGGGAACGGCGACAACGGCATGGCGGTCGGAGTCCCGCGCGGCTCCCGTCTCCTCGGCAAGGTGCGTGTGTCGCAGGAAGCGACATATCAGGCACTAAAATGACGCTTCGACTTGTCAGAACTTACACTGAGGGAAAGTGATCGGCCCTTATGGCTATATGATCATGCAGCGAAAGAATTCTAATCAGCAGATACCGATCCTGTGCAGCAAATGCACAGGGAGAAAGGATCGGCCGATTTAGCACGACAATGGCGCAATTAAATGGCGCGTCTTGCTGGAAGGAAACGGTATTTTCTTGAAAGGTCTTAAAAGTCCAATTTGGCTCGTGAGAACCAGCGAGAAATTCAATTCTTTTCGACCGAAACGTCCCAAACGACCAAAAATAGCTGCGTCATCATCATGTTAACTCGATCAATGCTTTTTCTCCTCGTGTTACTCCAATTTTAAGGACAATAACTTTACATATATTGTGCTACATTATCTGTGATACAGTTGACGCCGAAAATTTGTAGCGAGACGTTACTCGAACAAGGAAGCTGGTGCGCGCGTCGTCGCGGACACGAGCTAATTCGGAGATGTAATCGTAGGTCATACTTCTCACGTCGAACATGACGAATCCACAAAATATCACCGGCGAGCAAATGGGCGCCTACTTCGGCTACGCCATGGCTTCCGGCGACATAGACGGAGACGGGTTGGACGACCTGATAGTCGGTGCGCCCATGTACACGATCCCGGACAACCCGGAAATGACCATCGAGACCGGAAGGGTTTACGTGATGTATCAGGGCACCGATATAGAAAAGTTCCGCAAATTCGACACAAGGTAACGAAACTTTGACGATCGCTCTTTTCAGATGACTTTGGCCGAGTCTCGGTTGAACTGTTCGATGGTCAATTAATATAATTGTAAATTGCAATTTGTGGACTGCGTAATTTGAAAAATAGGATGATTTGTCAAGAAGTTGCAATTCCGAAATTCAGATACCGAGAGGAGTCTCCCAGAAGACGACTCCCCCGGAATAAGAAAAAAAATAATAAGAACGATAATGACGATAACGTAATATATTTCAGGAGATCGTCTCGATTCGTATTAGAATATCGAGATAATGATTCTTCGGAAAGTTGTCTTACTCTGAGAAAGTTTGTCGCGTAATTTCGCATTATATATTATAATGTTTCGAAAATACTTCCGAAATCCCCATGTGATGTCCGCTACTTCCAAATTCATAAGCGACGCTGACCCGAAGGGTTAAATGGGCCCTGGACGCGGATCGCGCGCTGAACGGGTTCGTTGAACCGCGCAGCGATAATGGCTTATCGTTATCCAGAGACGGTGAAAGCAACCGCGGACGTTTCGGCTTGTCGTTGGCTTCTCTCGGAGATATCGACTTCGACGGTTACGGTGACTTCGTCGTCGGCGCGCCCTACGGTGGTCCAAATGGCCGCGGTGCCGTCTACATTTACTATGGCTCGCGAGTCGGTGTATTGGAGAAGTACTCCCAGGTGATCCACGCGGAGGATTTGGACAGCCCGGTGCAGACCTTCGGGTTTTCGGTGGCCGGTGGCCTCGATCTCGACGGCAACGTTTATCCGGACCTGGTGGTCGGTGCATACGAGTCGGGCGCAGCGATGTTCTTCAGGTAGTTGTCCAATTAAACGTTCTTTTGAGGTGATTCCCAACGAGGTTGCCTTCGGTGACATTTCAAGTTTTCTGAATTAACTTTTGCATCTGTCCAGGTCACGACCGGTGATCAAAATGGACTCGTACGTGACCTTCGGCTCAGAATCCAAGCTGATCTCCTTGGATATCAAGAACTGCACACTTTCGGACGACACTAGGGTCACGTGTCTTCCGCTTAGAGCCTGCTTCAGGTACAGAGGAGATGGTCTCCTCATGAGGCACAATTTCAACGTGCAATATGTGTTGGACGTTAAGAAAACGAAAAACCCGAGACTGTTCTTCTTGGAATTAGAGGGCAAGAACACCATGAACCATACGATCTCGATGGAATATGACCGGCAGTTTTGTCGCACGGTTCAAGTGAGTTGATCTTTATACTGTAAAGAGTGTTGTCGGAAGGTGATTTGAAACTTTTCAGACTTGTAATATTAAGCCGAAGGAACAATACTTAATCGACATAGACCCACGAGACTATTCTTCCGGAGCAAACAATGAAGTGAAAACAGCAAATTATTTCAGATGTGGTGAAATTATTTCATCATGATTAGTTTGGTAGAAAATCGCTGATCTCGAAAGGAACAATCTTTATTTCCATGTTTTATTCCCAAAGGGCCTTATATTATTTTAATGAGTGTCTTTATTTTTTATAAAATGAATATTACAATCCTGTAAAGTTTCAAACAACTTTTCCATGACATTTCGTATTTTGTAAGCATTTTCTGGAGAGAAACTTAATAATTTCTACGTCATTCTCGAAGGTCTACGTGATTCCCAATATCCGCGACAAGCTGACATCGTTAGATGCCGAGATGCGCATGAGTCTGGAAGAAGAACGAGTCCCAGATAAACGTCGTCGTGATCCTAGACTACCATTACGCCCGGTCCTCGGTGCAACGACTTCCAGAAAAGATACTCTCTCCATCAGGAAGAATTGCGGCCCTGACAATATCTGCGTGCCCGACTTATCCTTAAGTGTGACCCCGAACGTCGGCAAATACTTATTAGGATCCGGCAAACGGCTAGAACTTGAGGTTTTGGTTCACAACACGGGCGAGGATGCGTTCGAAGCGACGTACAACCTGCAGCTACCAGCCGGCATCGATTACATCAAGATCGAGCGTATCGAGACCCTGGAAATTCCCGTTCACTGTTCCGCGCCCAAGCAATCCAACAACAACACCCTGCGTTGCGACATCGGCAACCCACTGCCGCAGAACAAACTGGTGAAGTTTAAAGTATTGCTTCAACCCGTCACATCCCACGGCATGAAGCCCGTCTACGAGTTCAACATGAATGTCAATACCACGAACCCTGAAGACTGGTCCACTTTTTACGATAACAAACATCACTTATCTCTGCCGATCTGGATAGAAACAGATTTGCGAGTGGACGGTGAAAGCAAGCCCAAAGATCTTTACTACAACCCCGACAATTACACCGCCACGAATATCACGACGGAACTCGAATTCGGGCCGGCGGTCACGCACAATTACACGATTCGCAATCAGGGACCGTCTGACATCGTTGAGGCTGAGGCGTTCCTCGTGTGGCCCGCGCAAACTCTATCCAACAAGGAGTTGTTGTACTTGTTGGAACAGCCAGAGACCTCAGGACCGATCGCCTGCGAGTCTGCCAACGCAAATTATCTCAGCTTGAAGGTATGTCTCTCGCGCGTTTCACTCGCAGACTATCTCGACAGTCTTATATGATAATTTGAAAACTGCAGATATTATTTATTTCTTTAGTAATTTATTTTTTATTTATTCATTATTTTAACTATAAAGCAATATATATATATATATATAAATTCTAATAATTTTATTTTTAATTTAGTAATTTGTTCTGGTGATTTATTAATTTGGTTATGTTACATTTTTCATCCCATTATATTATTTTATACTTTATCCCAATTTATTATTTTGCATATTTTATTATAATTATTATTTTATTATTATTTCACGTTTTATACGTTCCTAGGCATTGTTTTTCTCTCTGGTGTGCAGTTGAAACGATAATAAATAAATGGTAATAATATTTTACAGCTGGATCAGCGTAGGAAAGCACATCTGAATTACCTTGACTATACTGGTGTGATACTTGACGAATCGCAATCGGGTAAGACGATTAATGTCCAAAGAGGCTTCGAGATGGATCGCAAGAAAGTGAACCAAAAAGAAGAGGCCGAGATAAACAGCGGTGATAGTTCGAATATCCAGAAATCGCGACACTCTTCCTCATCATCTTCCTCCTCCTCCTCTTCCTCGAGCGTGGTTACGGAGACTAGGAGAATTCAGTTGAATCCAACGGGAGAGAAGCCTCAAGTGCTCACCACGACGTATACGCACAATTCTTCCGGAACCAGCTCGGCGATCGGGACCGGTGGCTTGTCTCACAATCGCAACATGGTTTTCCACTCGGAATCCGGCGGTAGTTATGGCCCTACAACTTCACACGGAATATTCCACGCGACCGAAGTGCCCTTCGACTCTAGATTACGAGGCTCCGGTCTTGAAGATTCCCACAGGTCTCGTGTGAACCATACTGTCCAAGTAGAAAGTCGCTGGCGCGAAAGCGGTCGAGCGGAAGACGGTCATACGATTTCGTCCTCGGAAAACCTCGATTCCGTTATGACCGAGAGCGAAAGGCGGTATCAGGAACTGCTTCGGCAGCAGGAAAAGGTCCGCCTGGAGGAGGAAGCACGTCAGAGGAAGCTGCAAGAGGAGGCGCGCCTACGTGAGCATCAACGAGCGGAACAGGAACGTCGTCGCGAAGAAGAAGAGCGGCGTCAACAAGATGAGGAACGACGTCGGCAAGAAGAAGAGCGACATCGACAGGAGATGGAGCAACGACGAAAAGAGGAGGAACGGTATCGACAGGCAGAGCAACAGCGGCGACAAGAAGAGCAACGACGTCAGCAGGGTGAGAGGGGACACAGGTATAACTACGACGAGGAGAAACGCTATGGTGTGTCCTCCACTGGCCATCACCGGACCACAGAGGATGATTTCATCACTAGCGATCGCGAAGATACGGTCGGCAACAAAGAGTTCGGCTTCCGTTTGCAGAATGCTAGCTCCACTCAGGAACTGGAGCGACTGTTTGGTATGTTGTCGAAGGACGCGTCCAGTTACCAAGTGTACACCAGACAGGGGCAACAATATGTGCAGTTCAAGGCAAGATTCCGGACGTCCGCTGACAGAAAGGAATACATAGAGTTCCAAGACGGCTCCATGTTCCCTCTGCAAGACCGTTACGGAGCCCAAAGCTACATGTCGGACTCCATGGAGCCACGCGACAGTCGATTCCTCAGGATAGAAGGTCGATTAATTATCGGTCCGGACGACAAAGGCTACATCGTGCTGAAAGACGATCGAAGGTTCCCTCTTCAAGGCTCTTTCACGTACACTGAGGAGAAAAAGTATACTTTGCGTGGCCCATATGGTGGTTATCACGGTGACAACGTGGATAATCAAGGTCAAAAGACTTATGAGGAGCAATCCTGGGGCCAAGAGTCGTCCAGCCGCGGTTTAACGTCGGACGATGGCTATGAAAGCAGATACAACACGCGCACAGAGGAAGAGAGACGGACAGAGGAGAAGACGAGCCAGACCAGAGTCTACGGGAGGAACAACGAACGGTTCAACGATGAATTCCCGACGGAAAGACCAGAACCCGGCCGGCCAAGTTCGAGGTACAGGCGCGAGAGCGACATGATCGACGTCAAAGAGTTCAAGAAGTTCGAATGGCTCCACAGACATCGACGAGAAGTCAACGAGATCGATGAATACGCGGATGATGAAGCCCATGAGAATGACTACAACCTGAACGATGAGGACGATGAATATTATAAGGATAAGCCGAAATCACCGGAACCGATACCACCGTGTGACACAGCGAATTGCGTGATGCTGCGATGTGTGTTGGGTCCCTTGAAGAAGGACCAACAAGTCTCGATCAGCGCGAGGTATCGCGTGGACGCCCGAACGTTGAAGGAGATAGCTTTCAGGGAGAAAGTGAAAGTATCAACGAAGCTGGTAGCACGCGTCACGAAGCAGCCGTTCATCGGTACACCTGCCGAGCAAGTGATCCGCAGTGATGAAGTTATCACAAACGTCGAGCCCAGCGCGCCACCTTCCGTTCCAGACGTCATCCCGGTGTGGGTGGTGATCCTGTCAGCCTGTGCCGGAGCGATAATCTTGTTACTGCTCATATTCTTGCTCTACAAGGTTAGTGTTCACAAGTACCAAACAGGGTTGGGAAGTAACGTATTATTTGCATCAGTAGTTGTGAATTACTTCTTTTCAGTAACGACTTGATAACAGTGTAATTTTTTTCATTCGTTCATAATGGTAACGTTATGTAATACGCTGTTACAATTTGTGGATAACGATAACGAGTGTAACTGTCACACCACTATTCTGTGCGTGTAGTCTTTTCGACACTTGAAGAGGTAAGATTAACGAGAAAATTGTGACGACCTTTTGTCACCTTTTGAATGACGGTAATTATTTTTTCAAAATGAGTAACAAAATGATGATAACAAGTCGCTTCTCTCAATCATGATAAGCAACGAGTTACTTTAAACTCTCCCGACCCTGGATGTAAGACAAAATTGCAAAACACAAAGATTATTATTATTATATCGAGCGAAATGATTGTGTCGTTATTTGCAGTGCGGTTTCTTTAAGAGAAACAGACCCTCCGACGCTCCAGAGAGGCAACCGCTGAACAGAAATGGTCATTTTCAGCAAGGCGAGGAACATTGAGAAGACAAAGAGAATAAGAAAGAATGAGAGAGTGAAAGAGAGCTCCTCTCTTTTCCATTCGGCCGAAGCCTTCGACACTCCGGCCGCATCAGGTCGAATCGTAGATGAATTGAAAATCTCGGCTACGCGATCGAACCGCGAGCACAAGTGCCTTCGTCTTCGGACACAGTTGAGGGAATACGCATTGCGTGGATGCGCTCGATGCGATTTTTGCGGACGCGATCGCGTGCTTCCCTCGCGAACACATCATCGTTCACAGTGCCTTAAATTCACGTCCGATAACGAGCATTTGCACTGAGGTGCATTAAATGAAATGGTTCTGAGCGACGATCGTCACTCGCATACTGCCACTGAATACTCCTTCCAGCTCCTGCAGCTCGATCACGCAAGTTTCTAGTCAGGAGACGTTCTTCTTCTTCTTCTTCTTCTTCTTCTTCTTCTTCTTCTTCTTCTTCTTCTTTTTCTTCTTATTCCTCTTCTTCTTCTTATTCCTCTTCTATCTTATTTTTCTCTCCTTCTTCTTTCTTCTTACCGTTGTAATTTACTTAAGCCGCGCGTATAATCGGCAGATACGGACACGAATATCTCGGCATTCTGACAAATCGTATCTTCGTTGTATATAAGTATATATGCGTAACGTATACGTTATATTTTTTGTACCGTTATCCGCAGTAAAGCGCCTTGACGCGTGTTTCTCGTCGCTTCCGCTACCTTTCTACGGTAGATTAGAATTATTTTTCTATCTACGTACGATCGGCAAACCGATCTCCAAAACGATCTCGTATCTCGCCGATGGCATCAGCGGAACTCGCTCGAAACGTCAGAAACGTCAATCAGTGAGTCTTCTGTGCGAAACCCCTTTCACACGAGACACTCAACTGCCGAACATTATGTTACCTGAACTCAGGTGATACCAATGTATAAATAACGATGTAAGAACATCTTAATTTGTCAAATGACGTCTTATGCATTTTTATATTATTTGGACAACGTCTTAGTAGCAACGTATGAAGGGTTAATCGTGTTGAAAAGGGATTGAATCTCTCTCGGAAGCAACCTCGAAATCACGGGATTTCTTGATTATTTATTAAATTTCTATATATATATATATATATATAAATATATGTATTATATATAATACATAACGTATGCTTAAGCGCCATAACAATAGCGTGGCTTCAATCGCGCGCGCAAAGTAAATGTGTGTACAATCTGTAAATTTGAGATGGGCGATGTACGACTGATGAATCGATGTTCGATTCTTATTTTAATTTCTTTTATTCCGATCAAAAAATTAATTGTCTCTCCTCGATAATTGATTCATTTGCTGATAGCTTTTTAATATCTTCTAATAGTAGCTTATTGATAATTAAATATATGTAACAATGACTACGTTATCAAATTGTTACTAAACTTTACTGATCACGCTCGTTTGCACGACACAGTTTGCACGTGTTAATGAACTTTAGAACGTAGCGAATTTTCATGATTGCGAGCTGGGCTTTCATGACTGCTCGTGGGCTTACATGACAATTTGTTATGACAAAAATCAAATGACAATATATAGTGTCATATGTCACAATGTACATGTTCATTATACTCTTGTGTGTATGTGTATGTATGTATATGTAAGTGTGATATATAAAAGTATAATAAAAATATATTTTGCGTCTAAATTCAGAAACGTCGGAACGTACATTATCGCTTTTGTTTATGACTGATTGTCGCACACGATTAGGAGCAATAATCAATCGTAATTATTTGATATGTTTCTAACGTTATCAGAAAGCTGTTCAAACTGTTATGCAAACGAGTGTATTGTACAGTACTCAATTTAAGTTGTCTTCAAGTTCATCATGCAAAAGATTTGTATTCTTCATCGTCAAATCAAAAAAAAACTTTTTTACTCTCCTCGTTATTTTCCGCTGCAACACTCGATGGCACCAGGTAATTGGTTCAGTCGTATTTTATGAATCGAACAAATTGGTAGGCGGTCATTTTTATAACTAGTTACTGGACATCGACTCTTTCTCTTCTCAATATCGCCCATCCCTATTGTAAATTATTAATTAATTGCGCTACTAAAAAAACTACGTACTACCTACAAAAAATAGATAAACGTTATCTGTGACTGGAGAGAAAAATCTCCGGTATAAATAGAAAAGTAGAATTGATTTGTACATACAGCGCTAAGAACTAATATTAAAAAAAGGAAGGATATACATATATATAATAAAATTAATACCATTTTTTGCGTACCTTACTTATTTTTTCTGATGAAATTGTCGAAGATCGCTTCGTACGATATTAATGACACGCAAGGTGCACAAGTGAAAGGACGAAAAAATGCACATTAAAAGAATAATTTATATAACCATTTATTGAAAAATTACAATAACGTAACAGCGGTTGGCGTAAAACAAACGTTTACTATGTCAACATCGTGTGTACTGCTTGCATTGTATTAATCGTAATGACCGGTTCCGCTGAAAAATCGGTGTATAAGTTACATCGTGCACAAATTATAAGAAAATTTCTCCAGATATGTAAAAAAATATATGCTTCATTAATCTTGTCTTTTTTTCTCTCAATAGATCTGGACAGTATCCTTCATATTCTTTTTTCTTCTTTTCATTAGTAAAATGTATATAAAAATAATCTATAACGGGTATAATTGTCAGTTTGTAAAATATACTACGATCTTTGTTAATAGGTTTTCTTTTTTCTTCATCCGCGTTTCGAGAGCATTTCGTAAAAATGGATTAGTACCTCGAGAAATGACGATTGATGGCGATGAATAAACAACAATGGACTGTATATGTATACAATGATCGAGCAGTGAACGAAAGAGCCGAGGTCCACTAGAGGTGGAAGTAAATCTTATAAAAAATCTGCATGAGATCCCGCTTCGTAAAATCGTACAAAAGTTGACGCGCCCGAGAAGATGTGTATATAAAAGGAAACAGTGTGAACGTTACTGTCGCTTATTGTAGTACTCATATAAGTACAACGTACTTACGGATGAACAGTTCAATTATTGCTACTTGCATTAATAACTACTATTATGTCTAAGCCCGGCAATCGTTTGATGGATCGGAAATGGAATACATTCACGCTTTCACGCGGGACACAATATGAGCGATTAAGAAATTACAATGAGATGCATTGATATCCTGTCGGGCAGTGAGACGATTGTTTACTGCTCCCCAAAACGCCAACATGTCGACTGGAGAATGTATGTACAAGTTTGGCCGCAAATCCGGCGACCACATTTTCCTTATTTAAAATTACGATCAACAAGAACATTTTCTCGTTTGATCCTTTCCTAACCTGACTACACACGACTGAGATTAGACGGATACTGTTGAAAAAACTGCGAGTTCGCGTATGACATCTTAGTAACGTTTATAAACCACGCATTTGGTGAAGGGATGCAACAATGATGATTTTAACACACCAGTGAAAACGACGTTAAATGAGTACCGATGTCGGCCGATTCATAACAAATCGTTAATTTCATTTATATCGTGATCGTGCAAACTTCTAAAAAACTTTCTAATGTAATTATATGTACATACATACATACATACATACATACATACATACATACATACATACATACATACATACATACATACATACATACATACATACATACATACATACATACATACATACATACATACATACATATATACACATATATACATACATATATACATACATACATATATATATATACACACACACACATACACACACACACACATACATATATACGTGTGTTAAATAAATTTCTTTTTTCCCATCTTTCATCCAAATTGGACTATAAATGTCAATATACTTGATCGAACGTAAATGGCGTTTGAACCCTCTTCGAAATTGTCCCGTTTCTCCCTTCCCTTTGTGTGATGCTGAACGAACGAACGTTAAAAAAAACGTTCGTATCACCTATTCGTCATGATCACCATTAAAATTAATCTTATCGTCTAAATCGTTAGATGCATTATCCTCGTATCAGCTATCAGGAACCTGAAAACAGATGACGTTTAGGTGACATAATAAATGGATTCACGATGAAAGGATAGATTAAGTATGTATGACGTTTTATTTTCTTACTTTCCATTGCAATTGCGTGCCCACTTCGTAGAGTTCCTTGAGCGTCTCCGCCAATTGTCCCGAGCTCTCCAATTCTTTGTACTTGCGGTACAATTCCAGAGCCGCTCGCGCGTCCTCCGCTGAATCATGAGTCTCGGATTGAATCTTCTTGCCTAGGAAATGCCAAGTCAAAAAGCGTAACGACACCATACGATGTCGAGGCAAGTGGAACAACAATACCGTGTCCACTATTTGCTCCGATGGTACTACCATATTTATCACCCTGTAACGAGCGGTCATTAAGAGAAAGTAGAAAGGAGAAGATTCCGTTGAGTCGAGTGATCGAAAATTTACCTAAAATCATTCTTCAAACCGTGTCCGACGAAGATGATACCGTTGTCCACTAGAAATCTCAATTTTTGATACGTTGATTTCAAAGTAGTAAGATGCTTGCTACTGAAGTTCGCATCTAAATCGCCTGGCTGTATCCCGCTGAATTTGGTAAGGTAGTCAACCACCTGTTCCTGAGTGCTTATGTAATCGTCTATGAACGGTGTACCTTCCAACGGGCCTTGTCTGCTCGTTAAAAAATATTTATGTATAAGCGCGACTTGTATTATATCGTGAATATATACGTATTTTCATTAGTGAATGCATCTCCGATTTGAAGTTCGACTGTTTCTCCGTCGAATCCGATGGAAACAAGGAGAGACTTTCGCTCTTAGAATTCATGATAACTCATAGAGATCATACCCGCGTATACACGTGATTCGCGCGACCGACATGTGGCTCGGTTTTATGGTCGACATTTTCCCATCACTCCGCAGCTCGGATTCTTCCTGATTTAATGTGACGAACTCTGCGTCGATTCCCACCAACTCTCCTGTGACAATAATTTGAGTATTCCAGCATTTCTCAATGTGCAATAAATAGAATTCTATTTTAAAAAACACTATGTACTATCTTCTAACTTCTTAAAAAAAGTCTGTACATACCTTCTAAGAAGTTTACGTTACTTTTTTTAACTGTTTAAAAACTTTTTCGATTTTTTAAAAGTTATTTTCAGAAGTAACTTGTCACTGTTATTCGTTACCCAAATGCTTCCTAATCCTAGTAATAAGTTACACTGATGAGTCACATCTAAAAAGTGACTTTCCCAAGCCAAAGCGCCCGTACAAAGCGCAAGATTAAACAACAAAATAGTCAGAGAGACGACGTGCTACAACAATATACCTTTCTGAGGCATTTCATCCGACGACAGTGGAGTGAACGTGATGCCTCTGGTGCCACCGCTGCGAGCGATGCACTTATCTTCCCCAAACACGTCGTAAGTGAGCGGATTGACAAATGGTGTTGGTTCGGGAGCCGGTATCGCTGTGTAATGAAGCACGCAAGGTATCTTCCAGTCCAGATTGAACCACACTGCTTCCTGCGGCGTCACCGCCGATATGCTACAAAAGGAGACGAACGATAGGATGAATACTCGACACACAGTCGCGATTATCTTTTCTTCGAGGACGAAGAAGAAGGACTCACCAAAAGTCGTTGAAGATGTACCATTGCGACACTGCGCTGCCCGACAGTCGCTCGTGATAATTCGGTCCAACCTGCAAGAGCGCCACGATGTTCCTCCGCTCCTCGTTGGTCTTGTCGTCAACGTAACAAACAACGGCGCTGAGACTGTATTGTATTTTTTGAGGATTAATGGAAATTCCCAGATTTGTACTTCTCGCCTCGGCCCCGTTGCTGTTCGCATCGCCCTCCTCGCCATCGTTGTTGTCCTCGCCGACTATTTGTACTTTGTTGTCGTCTCGACCGTTCTCCACTACCACGTTCGCTTTCGAAGATGTGCCATTGTTCGACTCGTTCGGCGAGCTGTTCAATTTCCGCACAGACAGCTCGCCGTTTTCGTCAAGTGAGATCTCGATGTTGTGCGGTATCCAAGAATGCGAGTAATACAAATGACTAGGAGGTGACGCCGATGAAGTCGTGGGTGACGGTAAAACTCTATCTGCTTCTGCATGATCGAAAGGAGCATTAGGATCGAAAGGAGTCACACGGAACAACGTATCTGCCGCATCGATGAATTCGCTTACCTTCGCTCAACTTCGCTCACCTGAGTCGCGACCAACGTGCCTGAACCGACACCCAACTCGAGTACAGTTGTTGCCGTATCGACAGGGCTTGGCGGTAATGGGCACGGGACTCGAACAGGGACTAATTTCCTTCCCGGCCAACACTTTCTGCACCACGATATCCATCTGATTCTGCCAGAATGCCTTGTCCTGTAAGTGATTTTCGCTCGCATGACTCTCAAACGACCGAAGTGCACAGCGTGGCGGCTTCTCATGCTTTGATTTCGTATCAGCTATATAAATTGTATGTTATCTAAACTTGTGTAGTAAGTACCTGCTGAGTATCTAAGCCGCAGTTTAGAGCCAGTATTTGAGGTAGTTTAGTCAATTGTCGAGACTGGAGAGTGGGTATAAATTTCTGGCAATTGTCACACCATGCGGGTGTAATTTTCTCGGGTCTTAAACTGCGGGCAAGAACACTCGTGAACGGAACTTCTTCAGCTACAAAAAGGCAAATTTTTTGTTCAGTCACGATTGCGAATATATGTACGCGTGTTAAGATGAGACTATGAGAGACTATGAGATGAGGCCTATGAGAGAAGAGAGTAAGTCGTGTGAGAGTGTAAGGCGTGTGATGTTCCAACATTCGGGATGCTCCAACTGTGTGATCTTCGTTCAAATCTTGCCGAGAAATTATTATTTTATAAGTTTAATTATTTGTTATTTTCGGTCCCAAAATAATTGTCAAAAGTTTCCCGAGCACTTTACACGTCGAACTCGCTCTCTCGGCTGGAACCTCAGTCGCATATTTTTTGAAAATAGCTTACAGGGATTGACTATTTCCGGATAAACTAAATTAGACAGCAACATGATGGAATGTTTTGTAGCTTCTTGCCCACATTTGAGACAGAGATGTATGTGCATTTGTTCGGATCCAAATAGACGACTGATCTCTGTTTCTTCGTCCCGCACTTCGTTCTCTTCGGCGGATTTTTTGGTGTTCTTATCTACCCGCAATGAATGTGCATTCAAAGATAAAAGAAGCGAATATTATTAAGAGTTGGGTAAAAAATGTCGTTCTCTTGATAAATAAGATATGCATGTAGCGTTTCTACAACAAGTGTCTACCTAGAAAAGCTTTGAATCTGAAAAATGATAATTACATGTGTCGATCTTTGTAACAAATAAACAAATAAAGCAATGCAAAATATAGATCATCATTGGCAGTTTGGAAGAATAATTATTCTGTAAAATGACTAAACTGACTTGACATTTCGGCGTTTGTTTTGCGTTTTCAAGTCATTTTTAACGTATCAATCGAGTGTCAATCACATATCTTAAATCCCAGGATTCTCGCATAAAAGTAAGATCATGCAATTTTTGGAAAAAAAAAAATATAAGGGGGACTGACTTCTCACTATATAAAGAAGAAAAGAAAAAAAAGCGTGTATACACAGTATATATTTTAAAGCGTATAACGAGTATAAGCGTTACCGTAACCGAACAATTGTATATAAACTTAACAATGACGTAAAATCAAACAAAACTGTACGGTCTAAAAAATGAAAAAATAAACAATATTGTACGCCTTCGCGTACATCGGAGAAAGCTTCAGTTGTGATATCCTAAGAATACAAGGCAACGCCGTAAGATCGTAAGATATTAAAGCAGATATTAAACATTTCTCTTCTCTGCGATAATCAAGATATACATATAAGTAAAATACATATAACAAAACTCCTCTTGTTATTCTTTAGATACGTCGCTACAGCCTTCTCGGTCGAGTGAACAAAAACCAAATAATCACATAAATTGAAAAATAAACACAAAAAAGTGCCCAGTGCAAAGGTTACACGTGAATTGTGTTTACCTTTCGATGTGATCCACATATATTTACCATCCTCCTCTTGCTTCCGTCTCCTTCTCCTCTCGTCGTCGTGGCTTCTATACCGAGAACCGAGGTCCTCGAGGATACTCGGGAAATCCTGTTCATTATAGACAAACGGCGGATACTTGGATCCCGACTTGAGCCGTGCCGCCTCTTGTTCCTCTTGCTGTCGCTTCTTAGTTTCCAGGATCTCATAATGTATCTGATGTAGGATAAATCTATTCCAACTCTGGAAAGAAAATGCACACTATGAGTAATGTTCTGTTGATCGCGAGAGTCAATTCCACCATCATACCTGTATGAGCCTGATCAAGCTGATCTTTTTCTTAGCTTCCGAGTGCAAATCGCTCAGTATGAGTCCTAAAGCCGCCGCCTCAGGCACTGTCCTAAAAGCCCTGAGGAAATTCGCGGCTTGGCAGGGCAATCCTCGCGAAGTGTCCAACATGTGGAACAAGAAGCCCAGCTCGCAAGAGAGACAAAATTCTCGTTGGCACGAGTGCGAGAGCAACGCTAGCCTCACAGGCTCACAGTAATATAGTAACTGCAAAGCATCGATACACCTGAACAATGATTCTCCTTCTCTTTCTCTTTCTCTCATCTCATGTCTCATTATGGACCTGATATAGCTCCACCGGCTGTACTTACCTGCAGCATAGCGTTGCAATAACTGTTGGGCAGCGTGGCTTCCAGGCCGCAGAAGCTGGTACGATTGTACTGATCGAAATCGAAGTCGTCGTAACCGTAAAGGCGTGAATACTTCAACTCGATCTTACGATAACGCTTGGGTATCGCTACGAAGGCACCGTCGTCTGTTTTAGACCGTGAGTCCCCTGCGAAAAGCTTCGCGACAAAGCCGCGTCGTTTTTCCAAATCGTATTGTACCTGCAAAAGAGGTGTTGCTTATTCTTGTCCCACTGAACAAAAAAAAAAACGAAAAATAAAAAGAGAAAAAGTGTGTCGGATATATATTTTACCACCCGCGAACGGTCTTGATTTTCAATGAGAGTTAACTCACAATTAACGAAAGTTCACGTACGTAAACGATTTCGATAAGTGACGGAAAGTAAGTTTGGATTGCGGCGGAAATTAAACAATAACTATCGAAGAGAATGCATGAATGTGTGTATGTGCGTGCGCGTGTGTGTGTGTGTGTGTGTGTGTGTGTGCGTGTGTGTGTGTGTGTGTGTGTGTGTGCATGTTTATGGAAACCGATACTTGACGATAATGCGGCGCGTCGTTTCATTAAAGTTACGCATACTATTGTATGTCATACAATCTTTATTGTTTCACTCAAGTACAACTTCGGATATACATCATCATGCGAAAACATATTCTACGTGTAAATATACTAACGATCGTACGCCTATCGGAGAGATTCTTGAGCGAGAAATTATACAACGGAAGCGGACAAGAAATGCACCGATCACAAGACATACTGTGCTTTGCGGGATTGGAGTAGGCTGTAAAATATATCACGCAGCTCGACAAAGCATAAGGAATTATATGGAAGCTTCCGGTGGGAAATATATCGAAACATTCATTCATGACTTTTTTCTCTTTGCGTGGGGCATTCTGCAAACATCAACATAAACGACTATAAAAGAAATCGAGCCTTATGCTAAAATCTAACGCACGTTCAATTCTTTTTTTCTCATAGATAGATTTCCTCATAAATATTCGATTGGCCCCACAGATCAATTTTAGAGAACGTTACCTCCGTGCAGAGGTGCGTAAAAGCAAAAAGAAATTTGCAACGTCAAAGTCGTCGGTCGTACAGACAACTCCAAGTTCAACTTTTAATTTATATAACATACTTTGATGACAGATCTCTCTCCAAACAAAAAAGAAATGAATTATCGACGTTATAACAAAGAGAATATCATAAATTATGATTTGATAATAATGAAAGTGAGATTTTACATATCTATATATTATCGCAATACTTCTATGTATATTTTCAAACCGATAATAAAATATATATTTAGAATTTATGCAGTGCTTTTATTTGCTACAGTACTTTAGTATATAACAGATGTCTTTCTGTCTGTTATATATTATTTTCCTTATTTATTATAAGTTGTGGCACATGGTTGAAGTATTAATAAGATATTATTGGATCCTTAAAGTGCGCTCCTTTTATATGTCAAGTTATTCTTTTTTCTTATAACTTCATATAGGTATAATAATATATAATACTAATCAAAACAAAAAAAAAATAGAATATTCATTCCTGTAAATATCAATAAGAAAGAAATATTCATCATAACGCAACATATAAATTAATAATTTGTGATATCGTTAATAATGGCAATATCGACTTCGTCTCAGTTTTTTAATTATAATTATGTTTGTCAAAAAATCTTTCCGAACTAAAATTTAAAAAAATCGAAAGAGGGAAAGATCCCAAGATAACTTTTATAGTGTATATTTAATATACTTTGAAACGTGTTGTTCACTTTCTGCAATGTATTTTCTATAATGTTATTGTTGAAAAATTAGAATACATTGGACTAGCTTACGAAAATATATCACGTTTCTTTATAGACTACAATAATTATCACGAAATGTTATCAGTCTTAATCACATTACAGCAAATTATTCTTTATCTATAAAATTAAATATTTCAATTACAATGAGCTTTAATACGCCGATAGCATATTGCTTATTTTTCACGCAAGTGGAAATCATTACCAAATGAAGAAGCGATTCGTATATTAATATACCTCTAAGGTATTCATAACAATACATTCGGCATTACGAAAAATTGTCCGTTTGAATAAATCCAAACTGTATATAGAGATTTGCTCGGATATCATGATATATTCTTACAATGCGTCCACGTAAATTTGCAATGACAATCCAACGATATGTAAAAGCGGCACACCAAGTTCGACGTCGAGTCGTTGTCAGTACGGCTCCCAAAATTTGATAAACGAAATTAGAAGAAATCGTTTAGAGTAAGTATGTGAACTGAGTTTAAGGTAATTTAAGAAGAGACGGAGGAGAATATTGTAGTAGAGTAGGAGAATATTGAGTCCTCACTTGATTTCTGCGAAAAGCCTGAGGATTCGGTGCGTATCCGATTGTTCCCTGCATCTTCATTGTGCGCAAAATCTCGGGATCGATCGGCGGAGTTTTCCTGCAAATGAAAGAAAATCAATATACCTGTTTTCTCTCGATCATATAAACACGAGCACGTGAACCTGTATCTCAGTTACTGTTCTGAGCATACAAACAAAACATATAAACGCGCACATACCTATAAACTTTTTTTAGAAATTCTTCCGGCCAATCACTTAGAAGTGGTTGTTCAGAATACATAATTGGTATTGTACTAAGTGGTGTAACATCATCATCAAAAGGAATAGGTTGCAATGTCTCGACCGGATCGGCAAATTCCGTAGGCCTAATTAAAATCAAGATATATATTTTTATTATATATAGAATTTTTCCCGACTGATTAATTAAATGAAAAATATTCCCTCTTAATAAACAACCAATAGAAATATACTGCTTTCACAGAGAGATATATACAACACAGAGAGAAAAATATTTTTCCTAAATAATAGTAAATTTATCTTATAAACAAAATATATTTCGCTAACCTAGAAAACGTATTAAATTGAGGTTCTGGGTTGTTAGTTGACATTAGGTGTATAGAACCAGCCGAATCTCCGAAGCAGAGCAACTGAGATGTCGAAGCTACGTCAAATGATAATATCATCGCACCCCCAGTAGCAACCTAATAATATATGCATACACATGTATATTTATCTATATTCTCCACATCTCAATGAAGTCCTGATATATTTTATATACACAATATAACAAATCTACAAACCTGATAGAGACGTGTCATTGGTGGCTGTACATTTGCATATATCGTATCGAGGAACTGCATTTGTCCTATTGACGAGACTACCGCGAGACGACTCGAATAACTCGGTAGAAATCTCAACAAGAGTGGATACACCGTGGTGGTGACAGGACTTAATGCTCTCATTTGTCTCAGATCATAGGCCATTAAAAATCGATCAACAACAAGACCTTGACGGCTAAATATACGATATATTCGATAAATATCCAAGTAACATGATTATTTGCAGATTGTATTCTTTCATTATCTTAATTCTTACCTATTGCTGAATCCGCAAGTAACGAGATAATTGCCCTGGACATCGAAATCACTGAGGGAACTGCCATGCGTATCGAAAGTATGTTCTACCGTTAATGTATTTGGGTCCCTGAGATCTATCCTCCCTGCGGGATTTCCTGCGCAAATAAGTCTACTGTGTTGCCGCAATATCGCACAACCATGCTCCCCTACTTGTACCTACAATTATAGTTCATCATAAAGTGGTATTCAGAGAATGTTCATTTAACATTCAACTAATGAATCCTTACTAATTCAGTTTCTTTCCCTGTAGTGAGATTAAAATCTATTATCTTTTCCTGGTGTCCGCCCATAAGAAGTCTAGTTGGAGAGATTTGTAACATACACTGCATATCGTTCATGTTTACTGACCTATAACACCCCAAGTTTTCGCTCAAAAATCTATCTTAACAATTTTGCTGATATACGACATTAACATACGTGTGCGTAAATATGGGTATGCCCCGCCGCAATTGACATCTTAGTTGACTCTGCGATAACACTAAGATACCCTCATCCACAGGATGAATATGCCGTATCTCTTGGGTAGCATGAACTTGAAAAGAGGTATACTTTTGCAAACCAGGCCCATAGTAAGATGTTACATGACCCTACAACGAATCAATGCAACTAAGTATAGGTGAAACAAGTTTGTACTGATCGCTAGTCAGAGTAGCCAAAAATCATTTGTCCCAAAATCAATAATGTACCCCTTGATTTCCCATCCACATAAGCTCCTCAACTGTATCGAAAGTGGCAGTGGAAACTCCAAATCTGTCCCCGCCATCGGCGAGCAACGTTCTAGTCTCACGAAACTCAGCCCCAGCAAAATCTTCTCCAAACTGCTCCGCTGCAGGTACATACTCATCTCCGGGCAAGACATAATTAGTTCCTTCCCCTGAAATGAGAACCAGTTGAAGGTAGAACAGCCCATGGTCCTTTGACAAAGTATGGAACACGCAAAACAATACTTTCAGTAATACAGATATAATTCAATATCTACAAGTCCCTGAGTAATTATTCATAAGGTCTCTATTTTTAATATTTACAATTTATAATTGCTACGGGACAAGATATAAAAACAATGTAACAATAAAATATACAATATTAAACAACATTATGACAATTTCCAAAAATAAACAAAGGCCAAGTTTATTTCTAAATATTTTACAGTTTTCAACTGGTGAAAAATGAAAGCAAGATACATACAGAGTGTATAAAATATATTTTAACTGAACATTGATTTAACACATATTTGTAATTAACTACTCCTAAGCCGGCTCCTACTTTTTAATTAACTACTCCTATTCCATATCAACATCGACAAAATACCGAGGGAGAGTACAAAAATTATCCACTTTGCGAAAAGAAAACCAAATCTACTTCTTTGCTTCGAACGATACATTCACCCGTAACATCGCTTTCCACGACGAGAGCTAACCGAGCATTCGCCGAGAGCGAAATGCATCCGCGCACCGGAGAAACAGCTGATACGTGACGCCAGCTGATGAAGAGACACGCATGCATACGCGGCAGCGTTCGTCATAGAAAAACAAAGAAGCAAACACTAAGCGGCGACTCGCAAGACGCAAGAACATACTAGTCGCGTGAATAAAATCGCATGTGGTAGGTAACTCCTCGAATGAACTTTGCGAACATTCTTTGATATCGACTTGAATTTGCGCAGGCAGCTGCGCTACGGTACGGTTTGGCGCGTTTTATTTCCAAGGCATGCAGCGGACATGAGGTAACGAGTAAAGCAGTGCAGACGCAAAACACGTGCGACACACAAAGGAATATATCTATAATATACCTGTGACACAAACTATGTATTTTCAGTACTGACAGCGAATTTTGGAACACAGTCACCATAGGACACACAAGAATATATAGTATAGGACACATAAAGATATATAGCATAGAGTACTCACACAGCAGCTCTTGCTGGTCCTCGCAGGTGCTACTGGCCGTGGCCTCTACGGTAGGATCGTAGTGGCCCAACACCGGGTAGTCCATAATAACAACGAGCGCAACGTTTCTTCAGATAATCGCGCCACTGAGCGCCGATGCGCCAAGGACGACGCTGACGCGGTGCGAGGATCGGCGTTCTAACTGCGATCGGTCTATTAGCATAGCACTACATGTGCACGCGTCGAACGACCACGAGGACGACGAACGCATGCACGCACACGGACGCGCACGTACGTAAAATCGGGACACGCACCCGCACGTACGTCGCAGTCGCCTTGGCAACTGTGCAACAAGCGAAACACTTGGCGGAGCGCACGCAAGCGGTCGAACGAATTTGCTGGACAAGGATCGCGAATACGGAATGTGGAGGAACCGCGGCACGTGATACGTGCCTCGTGGAGCACCGTCCCGCGCTTAAGAGACCAACGTAATGCCGCGCGTTCGCTCTCTAATTCATGATTGTGCTCCTCCGCGCGTTTCGTGAGCAAGGATCTACTGCGATCTAGAGACTCTCACTGGAGACGATCCGGAGGCGGACGCCCTCCATGTTGCAGCGAACCGGAAGTGACCGCGTCTGGTGACTTCTCAGCGCGTCGCTTTAAACGTGTGCTTCAACAGTCAGGGGTTGCAAAATCTACTTGTATGATGGATTTTTTTAGTATATTCCTTGAAATGATCTTCGCGTATTTTTGTTAATCTATCGACATGATCGATAATTATTGTTAACGTGATTAACGGAAGCACAAGTGCTCCGTTTGCACACTTTGAAGCATTCTATTGGTGAACACGACATGTAGTAGTTTATTGTCGCTTCAAGGTACTTATACCCGTATTCATAGTCAGGCCTTATATTTGAGGCTTCCTTATATCCATCTTTAGATGCTGCACGGATTATTTTATTGGCTACAGACCATCTGAAGATAAACTTAAGAAAGTCTTAAATATAAGGCCTGCCTAAGAATACGGGTGTTAGATATCTTTTAGACAACTTCTAGACACTTTTAGAAATGTCTTGAAGATGTCTTTTAAATGTTTACTGGTTAAAATGAATGTTTAAAGTTAAAATGAAACGAAATGTAGGCTGCGTCCCGATATTCACTGCCAGTACTGAAAATCTGCAGATGGTCTGTAGCCAATAAAATAATCCGTGCAGCATCTAAAGATGGATATAATGAAGCCTCAAATATAAGGCCGGGTCTACAATAGTATGTAGTAAGCTTTAAGCCTTAAGAAATTGGCTAACCTTATTCGATTATTCTTGTAAAAATCGACTAGGATTGGTTAATTTCTTAAGGCTTAAAGCTCACTACATCTATTGTAGACCCGGCCTGTAAAGCCTGACTATGAATACGGGTATAGATTTAGTTGAAGATATCTTTATAGAATTTTTAAAAGATATCTACAGACATCTAAAAGATGTCTTGAAAGATATTTTTAACATTTAGATCCCTAAAAAATATCTTTTCGGAAAAAATGTAAGATATCTCAAGACATTGCAAGATATCTTTTAGAAATATAAAATATATCTTTTTGTCTATTTGGGATGTATCAGTTTGAAAAGTTCTGCGAAAAAGAACAAACTACTTGTTTTACGAAAGCATAGGACAAGATAGGACTATAGATCAGCTCGACTCACATATGCTTACTTTGAAAAAAATCTTTTTAATTATATATTTTATAGTTTAAAAACAAATTTATTGGAAGAGCGTAGTAAATACTTTCGAAAATATTGGGTTTATAATATAAATATCACACGACAAAACCAAATATATTCCACAATCACCGCAAAACTACCTCAGGTGTTCCTGAACACTTTCCTTCACCACTAATCTCGGCAACTCTCGTTAGAGACGTTCGATGCATATACAGGTTAGGTTTGTTTTGTACGCTTTCGTGTTGAAACCATCATCCTATCTTTACCTTTCTTCCCTGCCGAAGGAAAATTAAATGACGCTTTCAGCACGAAAGCATATAAGAAAGACAAATTTTATCATATTCTCACATATACGAACATATCCGATCAAATCGGACAAACCCGACTACGTTCATGCATAACTCTACGCGTTTGTTGCCAACTTCATGCAGTAGCAGATAACGTGAATCAAGAGAGAAATCAAAAGAACGACTCATGGATCGATCGGGTTTTCAGTTGTTCGTTTAAACGATTTTCCACTCGAGAAAATCGCGATTTTACATTCGGAAATAACAAGAGCAAGCGGCCAGGCGTTCATCGTGAGACTCGCTGCGAATGCTTGCACTGATTAGCCGCCTGCGGACGGGAGGTCGGACTCGGCTAAATTCGGTTGGTCGATAACGCGGTCGGAAAGCGACGAGTAGGTCATTGCACGGAAGTCGGTTCGTTTCGTCGTGTCCGAGGCACGGGATAGGTCAGTCGATCTTCGCACAGCAGGCGCATTCGTACACGCTCACTTCCACTCATACTCAATTCTACATTCCAAGGGCCGGGTCCTCCTATCGCTCCTCTTCGACACTACTCTTCGGTAAGTGCGACCGCCTGCTGCATTGGCAAGTGAGTAAAATTTATCCGCAACTGTTCGTCATTTACGTCGCGGCACGACGATTTCGAGGAAAAGCTTGCCTCTCGCGCCCGTCACGTTGCCAGGAACGCGAGTCGATTGTACGTGTTCGGTCAGTTTTATCGAATACGAATCGCCCCGTCGCACGACAGAGGAGATCGAAGAGGAGAGTTAGGCGGCCATTTTCTATCGTAACGTGCACGTCGCGAGCTTCGCCGCTCGGTGATCGTCACCGTTGTTCTTATCATCGCGACGAGATTTTCCGCCGTCTTGGTATATTCCGTTTCGCGGTTGAAGCTGATCGCGAGCGAGCTCGAGAATAAGCCGCGGAAATTCGTCGGCAACGTCGACAACCGTCGGTCGCTGAGTCGTTACGTAATATACGGCGCTCTGGTTCGATCATACGTGCATGCGTGTAGCCGTCTCGCGGCCAGCTTCACGGCATTCTCGCAGCGAAGGTCGCAGCGTCGCGGTGGAACGTTGCGCTCGCGGTCATCGGTCGTAACCGTTCGCATTTTCATTGCTTTTTTCAGGTAGCTTTCGTAGAGTCCGTGCAGCGACAGCACCACAATAAACGTCATCATGTACGCCTGCAGCCGATTCATCGCGCCCGTCGCCAAATCCACCGTGAGTAAGGGAAAAAAAAGAAGGAAGGATCGTCCAACGCGACTGATCACCCGCGTGCACGTTATTATATAATAACTCTCTCGCGCAAACATTTTTAATTCTCTCGGTTTTTGTACCGTCGGTGTTATAGTTGGTCTCCGGCAGCAAGACTTATCTGCGGCCGTTGAGCAGTGCCGTGATCAGCCACAGCCAGTCCTTACAACGGGATCAAATTCAGACACCCGTCAGTTTGGTGAGTGAGCTTCTTTTCTTCCCCTTGTCCATTGCATAACCTTTTCGCGATCAAGGTTACATAAGCGTCTAACATCGTTTGAAGTGAAGGTTTTCAATATCGGTTTGAATGGGACACATTGTGATATTTACGGGACCTGATTTGTTGCCAGGGAAGAGATGTGAATCTCCGTTGGTTGTCTTTGACATTTAACGTTCCGACATTTCGCGATGTAAATATTACATGAGACATGTTGAAATTTAATTGAATAATGATTAGTCGTGTAGGTATTGATCTTTTAAACATTTGGTACTTTTGGAACATCTTGTAATTCATGTTTTGGAACGTATGTGTTGAAGTAACGGTCTTATGAACTAACAGAAATAATGTTATATATGTAAAAGTATACAATTTGGTATTTTTATTAACGAATAAGTGGATATCGATAGTATTTAATTTGTGACATTTTGGTACAGTTACCAGTCGTACGTAACTTCCAAACATCCACAGTTAGTCGTGATATTGACTCGGCTGCGAAATTCATTGGCGCTGGTGCCGCCACTGTAGGAGTAGCAGGATCTGGTATGTATACATAAAAGTTACCAATTATAAAAATATATCTTCTCTGCAATAACAGCAAAATTTGCTGTCATAGATAAGATATAACAGTAACGATTAGATCTGCACAGTAATAGTGCATGACAAAACTCATTTCTTAGTAAAACTATTCTAATACACTAACTCTATATTTTCTTCATAATACATTATGAATAGCAAATAAGTATTAACAAAATACCTGTCTTTTTCTTTCAACAAAATCGCATGCTTCAGCATATTATTAATTGAAAAAAATTATCATATTTTATAGGGATTGGTATTGGTTTGATTTTTGGATCCTTAATAATGGGCTATGCACGTAATCCTTCCCTGAAACAGCAAGTCTTCTCCTATGCTCTCCTTGGATTTGCTCTGTCCGAAGCAATGGGCCTTTTTTGCCTGATGATAGCATTCCTTATCCTGTTCGCCTTTTAAATCCAACCCCTCGAGAAAAATCTTCTCTTATGAAAGTGAAGTTATAAGATGCATTTTTATCCATTGTTAATAATTAATAAGCAAAGTGCATATATATATTTTTTTTTTGTTATATAATACACATTGTATAAACAACACAGTTTTGCATATTGTGCTATTAACATCAGTATCAGTTTAATGAAGCCTTTTTTTTTTTTTGTTCCGTGAGAAAGAAATACGGGACGACAGCGACGATAGTGGTGTCCGTTCTTAACTCGACGAATTGTTGTTCCAGGTGCTGGTATAGGATCCGTGTTCGGTTCGTTGATTATCGGCTATGCCAGGAATCCATCTTTAAAGCAGCAGCTGTTCTCGTATGCCATCCTGGGTTTCGCCCTGTCTGAGGCTATGGGTCTTTTCTGTCTTATGATGGCTTTCTTGCTCCTGTTCGCCTTCTAAGCTACAATATCCGCATAAGAAATTGATGATATAGTTTTTAGTGCGTCACTGCCAAGGCAGCGTCATCTGGCTCCAAATTGAACCATAAGGCGGCGGCTGTCTCTGGTATGCGGGATGCCATGAAATCATTAGGGAAGCTCGGATTTGTGGTTCGGATTCGGGGTGCGACGGTGCGACAATGAGCGAGAGCGAGGAAAGTTGTACTGTACCAAAGCACAGTTGCACACATGTTATCATGCACGGACCGTCTCGACCCTTTCCAAGCCTTCAGCTTGTTTCATTAATCATTTCATGGCCTACTGTTTCTCATGTAGCATATAAAACAACTCACATTGTTATCACATAACGGATTTCAGTGTAACGAACGAATAAGACGTTACTAAAAGTTGGAATTAAAAAAAAAGAAAAGATATAAAACGACAGCGCCTCTCACCCCGCATACCCATAACACGCACGTACGTACTCACTATGCGACTTAGTACACTTTTCGAAGATCTTTGTTATCCGAAAGGGTATTCATCATCATTGTTGTGCCGTCGTGTACGCACGTTGTTGAGGTAACTCTTGACGAAGAGAAAAAAAACTGTACAGTGATACCGAATAAACATCTTTGTCGTGGAATCGTGGATTTCTTTGTATATGTTCGTTTAGAAATATTTCCTTCTACCGATTCTCTCAAACTTTAATATCTCTTGTTCCATAAATTTGACGAATAAAAATATATAAATCCATATTGCATGTTATATAAATTATCTAACAATAGATAATATATAATAGTTAATCGTAGAACACAATTTTTATAACGCGGAAAGGAATGGAAAATAAGAGCCCTGCCGTACTTGTTGAAATGCAACTCTCATATAACAAATATCAAACGTTTCGCTTGTTGAAATAATTTCTTCCGTAGTTTATAAATGTCAAACAATAATGATCAATATCCAAATATAAAAATATCCAGATAATAGAATATATGCAACATTACATTTTGTGTAAACCGTAAGTCGTAATTACTGTTTGTGTACAGTCTCCGGTCGAACAGTGTGTTCAGATGGTAAATTAACAGAAATAGATTTTAATTGTCTAATGGTGGAACATTCACAGAGATCAAATTGAATTGTAATTGGCACTTATAAGTGAATATACACAAAAAATCTTTAAAACCGATTGTGCATGTTAACGTATCTTTAAAAATTTGATATTTTTTAAATACTTGAGATTATTACTGTAAAAATCTTTAAAAGTACGAAACTTATGTTTAAGACATTTATTCCTATTTTTTATGTTAGAAATATTAAAAAAAATATAACAATCTTTTTCAAAAGAATGTTTTTCATCCAATCTGAATTTGGAGACACATGTTTCTCTTATTTTGACCTAATCTACAATATATGAAGGAGATAATAAGTTTCTTGTAAGTATAAATCTTAAATAATTTATTAACCAAATTGCAATTAGAATAACCAGAATACAGCTAGTATATTCGAAACTATTTAAATGCGTTTAGTCTAAATCGTGCGCGTACGTATCGTCATGAAATCTCGTAATAATTAAAAATGATAAATTTTCTTAAGGAAAAAATTGTGAATCTAACATGGCTATGTATAATATGTTAAGTCAAAATCAGTGACGTAAAAAAAGTTGTCGGTTTTACGCTTATGTATTTAAACTTTTTGTAAGGTTTCTCAAACTTCATATGTACTTTGATATCTCTAGAACATAATTAAAAATTATATTCTCGTTGTTGAAAATAGACATAATGATACAAGACATACTATTTATAAATCAAAGATCATCCATTTTCTAAATTTCAGCACTGCCTTAGTCTCAACTTTAATATATATATAGAGGTGAATCTTAAAATATACATGCTTGTATAACATGCATGTACGAATATCTTATTTACAGAAATTTTAATGCTAAAAATCTTGATGGAAGGAAGATATCGATGAATAATTAATAATGGCGATGAAAAATCGTCTTTCAACAAAACGCAATTCCAAGTAAAGAGGCAAGTTTCCACGTGTTGACAATTGCACAGATGTGCGCGTACTTCGCGATATTGTTAGATTATAAACTCAATACGTTGGTCGCATAGTTCATTCACGAGCGAAGTCTGTCCAATTGTGCGAACGCAGAAAAATGTCATCTTCTTCGGGAAAGCACGAGTTAAAATATTCGTTTAATCAACGATATTCATTCTATATAAGTTGAATGTACCACTGGTAATGCATTGACTTCCAAGTTATTTATATCAAATATATTACCGATGATACATACACCGGCAGAGAGAGCCAACGTGTCAATATACGTTATCTCAAGTGAGATTTCTTGGTAAAAATGAATCCTAGTTCCATAATTTTCCTTCAGTTCTTCATATACTGGGTACATACACCCAATAATCAATGTTATAATATCCTACGCATTAACAAAGTATCGTATATATGTTCGAATTTGGTGTATAGCGAATTTCCTAAATTCTAAATTTATGTTGTGTTAATGAACTTTTGTATCACAATATGTAAGTAATTTTCTTTCCTTATATTACATCTATACATATATATGTATCTCTTGGAGTACGAGCATTCAATGAACTATGACATTGTACTATTTTCACGACGTCCAAACAAAATATTATCATCGCGAAAGAGCAGCAATCTCACGTACATAGCACTACGACAATGTGGTTGTACGTAACACGCGCAAGATACGTGCGTATGTGTGCGTGTATTTAAGAAATATCTCGCAATTATGCTGGAACACTAGCAAAGCTAGTGTTAAACATCTAGGATTATTATTTAGCAACGCTCAATTGCTCCAAGAGACTCTCCCTCACACGAAGACACGCCCACGCCTTGTCCTGCTCTTTCTTCGTCAGTGGCATCTTCATCTGTTTCGCGAGGGTCAATTTTTTATAATGCTCTATCACTTCATTATCCGCGCTGCTAATTTTCCGCTTCAACGCTTGCCTCTTGCTCTCCTCCTGTGCCAGATTCAGTAACCTCTTAAGTTGCGTGACATTGTGATTCGACAAAGAGGTAAGCTCCTGCTGGCATCTCTTAATTTCAGCGAGTATCTCATCATCCTCCTGATTCTTCTTTTGTCCATCTGGCTCTAGGATTCCCTGTTCGACTAACTCCTTGTGCATCCGCATCTCCAGGCTCATGGAGTTCTGTATAGTCAGATTCCTCAAGACAGTGGAATCCCCTTCTCGGAATAATTTATTCTCTGTGTTATTATTTCCTACATACACATTTTCCTCCAAAAGCGCAGAGACCAATCTCTGAGTTAAAGGTCCCACAATGCCATTAACTTTCTTATCATTTTTAGCTATCAGATGTGACATATCCGTGCGATTCTTTTTCTTCTCTCTGTTTGGATTGGCCGCATCTTCCTCTTGCAGCAGATCATTATGTGCCCACATCAGACTATAGTGACGACCTAGAGGAGGGATCTTCTTGAATTCGCTGGTATCACTGTGAGTAGTGATCAATTCCTCCAGCAGCTTAATATCATCAGGCATAATGTCGGTGCAATAAGGGTCAACAGACGCCCAGAATTTGTTAGGCGTATCGTTCTTTGGTAAGAGTATCTTTGGGGCATCTTTCGTCCCCTCGATCCTCGCGATTTCATGAACATTCGGCACTACTTGATTGGTTGAGTTTCCTACCGCTTTCTGTTTGAATAGTTTTGTATGCAAGGGCGACTGACTCTTGGTGCTGACTTCCTTTGGCTTCAGTTTCTCCTCACGTACTTTCTTGTCAAGAAGAGACAAACTTTTGCCGCTTTTCGATCGCCTATCTCGACGTTCCTCTGCTGACGATAAGCTGGTAATCTCCTCTTGAAGCGTGCGACATCGTACAACAGCCGATGATAGAAGCATCTCCAGCTCCAGTTGTAACGCATCGATATCCTCTTTTTGTATGCCATCTTCCTCTGTACGGTTCAAGAGCTCAGTATATTTTGGCAAGTCTCGATTGTTGTCGACTGTCTTTAAAACATTCAGAGACATCATCGGTTCTGGAGTTTCCGCACTCGTCTCAGAATGATTCACCAGTGAGGACTGCGCGGTCTTTCCAGACTCACGTCCCTTGACGACAGCTTTCTTTGAACTTTGCTTCCCCTTACCAGACATTTCTTAATGGATTGTAACAGTCAACAATAACGAGAAACAGTCACGTTGTTGATCTGAACTCTGCGATCAACTTTGATGACCTTAAACAGATATCAAGTTGCAATAACATTCAATGTTACAGCTCACATAACTGCCATGGTTTGGATTTGAATGTTACCTCACTTGTTGCGTTTTTTTTTTTACTTTTTACGTAAAATATCTCTTATTTATGAGAAAGAATATAAAAATACGTCGATTACACTATATAGGTTAGGTTAAAGCTAGGTTCTCACCACTAACTATGTAATATAGATAGATGATGTTCATATATAATATACACAATCGATAAATCGATATTCGATTATATTTTCTTTTTCTTAAAGAATAATAAAAAATTTGTCTCTCGTAATTAACTTGTATTATTTGAACATGAATTTTCTTCCAATCTGTATTAATGTTTGAATATTTATTAAGCTTAGAATAATTAGGATTATTCGACTACACTATGGCTAGTATTCATAGTCGGATCTTATATTTAAGACCATCTCAAATTCATCTTCAGATGCTGTTCAGATGCTAAATTATTTCATTGGCTACGAAGTATCTGAAGATGAACTTAACGCGGTCTTAAATATAAAACCTGACTATGAATACCGGCCTATGGGCTGTATTCATAGTTAGGATTTATTTATAAGAACATCTTAAGTTCAGGCTTAAGCCAGCGGCACACGGTGCTTGTTTTCGTGCTGGATTGCTTGCTGGATGAAAATACTGCGTTCTGATTGGTACATTTCCGAAGATGGATGGAAATGCACCAATCAGAACGCAGTATTTTCATTCAGCAAGCAATCCAGCATGAAAACAAGCACCGTGTGCCGCTGACTTTACTTACTGCATTAGTTCCGCAGTGTAGTTAAAAAGAACAGACCATATATTGATTAGATTGTAGCTGTGTTCGAAATTCACTGCCAGTACTGAAAATACATAGTTTGTGTCACGTATATTATAGATTTTCAGTGCTGGCAGTGAATATTGGAACGTAGTCAGTATTTTCGATTATATGCATCGTATCAACATATTCGTGCATCATGCTTATTAGTCATTCGAGGAAACAATAACAATAATTCAAGTATCATCCACACGGAATAGCACTTGTAACAAAAAATATTAAATCATACATTAAAAAAAAATATTGTAAGTATGGAGAATAAAATCAATGTAGCTGGACAACAGATCATTCGGACCTTTTTTTTAAGTAGTACAGTTCAATAATTGTTCGAACGGCTTTTATTTTCAAATAGTAGCATACAGATTAGAAAAAGTCTTTCTTTTATCTTTAATAAGCAATTAGTAAAAATTCCTATATTTTATAATTATGTTTAATTTCTTCAAAAGAATGTAAAGAAATATAAAAGTGCACATAATGTGAAGAATCTGCACTTTGTGTTCGTCATTGATACATGACAAAGATTTTTGTATAAAAATCATAACATCTTATGATAATCACGGAAATATATTTTATTGTGTCAAAAGCAGTAAAATTGTCAATAATTTATGTATTTAAAACGATAACATGTGTTAATGTTGTTTAATGAACATTTATATAGATTAATTTAATACTGGAAATATATTTTATTAAGCCAAAAGTAGTAAAATTGTTAATAGTTAATATATTTAGAATGATAACATATGTTAATATCATTTAATGAACATTTATACAGGTTAATTTAATACTGAAAGGGTTTAATTTAATATTGGGAGTAAAGATTGATAATTAAATTTCGTACATATGTAAATAAAAATGGCAGAAAAAGGTGCTTATTTAACTGGAACCGTGTACAACAGGCCTACTCTTTTTGAGATTCTTGCACAGAAATCGCTCGCATCTACTCTTGAACCAGCTTTTAAAAAGATTCTTTCGGTATGTTATATTCAAAGTATTTCTTGCAATGCAACATATTCATAACATTGGAAAATTATAAAAAACTAGATTTCTTACAAATTTGTGACCAATTGCATAATGTTATACTTACTTTTTGTAGGGCTAAAAAATATTTTTAACAAATCATATATATAACTGTTTTTATATATCAAGATTTTCTTTATATAAATGTTTAACAATTTTAGTTTCTTATATCTTTCAATCCTGAAAGATATGGACATATTCTTCAATGGGAAGATGAAAGCTACTTGCTTTTTAATGCACTTCTTCAAAGATATTACTTAAAGAAATATTGTAAATATCTTTATATTACATGTTTTCGAAATAATCTATTCTCTAGAATGGCAAATTTTTGTTTTGTTTATTTTCAGCTGCATCTTTTTCTGAAACATTTTATGGTTTGAAGCGTATTGCAGTAGTTGATTCAAAACTAAAAGAAAATCTGTCACGCAAACAACGAGTGTTATCGTTAATATCACTTGTGTTATTACCATATCTGAAAAATAAACTTGCACAACTTAGTTTAAAATATCAATTTAAAGAAATAAACAGTTGCGCAAGGCAAGGGGCAAGTATAATATGTAAAAAGAAAGTTCTTGTAATTTTTAAAGACACCTAATATATTTTATTAAGCAAAGATAATTATTAACAGAAATTACAGAAACTCTTCCATAAATGCCTCGTTAAAGGACATTTAATCCTCTTCATATTGTACAAGTCTTTAGAGGTATACAATTACATACTTTACATATCAGAACAGTCAATGTATCCATCACCTTTGCTAAAGCTGCTACGTATCACATTGACATACTCCGAGCTGCAGCCCACTCATACTATCATCGATTTACTGAGTAAACTAAAACAAAATTCGTTTACCATCGACGATGGTTGGGACTTACTTCAGAGCACTGTTACTCATTTTCTCGAGTTGAGTGCTTTCTTTCTACAGTTTCTTTCATGGTGGAATCAAGAGAATTATGTGACAGATATCATGAATCTTCCATCTCCACCACCTCCGAATGTAAGAATAAATATAATTATCAGATATCTAGACTACGGAAAATATAACATTGTTTTATTTGTAACAGGTGCCAAACACAGCATTCCGACACAAAGGTAACTGCCCACTTTGTCATATGCCTCAACGTATACATACAGTGCTTATGGTATCTGGGTAAGTACATCATACTCTGTTATTTAAATATTTTATTTATATATTATAATATACATTAGATTAGGTTGATATGACGTATTTAGCTTTTCTTCTTTATAGTTTTGTCTTTTGCTACCAATGTATTTTGTCGGAAATACGTGAAAACAAGAGATGTCCAGTAACGCATTACCCTGCTACAGAAGACGATTTAGTACGCTTGTACATAGATACATAAATTAATATATAAATACATAGATTAATCTATATATTTTAATTTATATATGTTATGCATAGATTATTCCGTGCAGAATAATTCGGGTGTAAATATACGCGGAAAATCCTGGTGTACATATAAGCGGAAAAATGACTTTTTAATTAAAATTATATTACATGTTATTACATATCATTCCAGGGTGTTCGGTTTCATTCATTTATCACGTATTGTACAGATAATGCATTGATAAATAAAGAAAACTTCTTAATCTCAAAATAACAAACTTTATTTCTCGTGACTTTTCAGCATATTAAATGGCAAGGTTCTAAACGCTTCTAATTGCTAAATCACTAATGACTATAATATAATTTTTACAAACTTACATTTTAATAAAATACAGCAACCTAGAATTTTAAAATTATATCGTTATCATAAAATTACAATATTAGCGTACGCCGAGTCGAAGAACGCCACAAATAACATTCCAAAGTGATCCCGATGTTTTAATGCACGATGCTTCGAATATTGAATTGCTAATGCAGAGAAAGTGCTCAGTGTAACTACTATGTACAAATTAACGCTCTCTACAACAAAGTAAAACTGTTTAAGACACATTATAACGTAGTAAGGCACATTCTTCCTATGTAATGAAACATACAAATTAATTACAGCTTCGAAGAGAATTTTATTCTTGATTGCGACAAAACGTCGATCATTATCTCCTTAGGTTTTCCTTTTGCATTTATTTTCACCAACTTTGTAAACTCTACAATTTACTTGAATATTTATAGAGTGCGTATTTAACGATATAACAAAACTATACCGTTTTTATTGCTGGTCCAATATTTAATGTCAACAATGACACAGTGTCAGTTTACAATTATCGTACATATATGTAATCATCATCGGAAACAGTCGAATATTGGGAATCAAATATCAATACTAACTGCTAATTGTATCTAAAATATTGTGCGTCGTAAAAAGTGCCAATATAGCCATTATCACACACATTTCTATCTATAAACTTCAAATTCGAGATAATGTAAATATGTCCAATGTGAATTTCGAATACCGATTAATAACTAAATCGAGAAAGTTAATCCGAAATTATAATATTTGCAGGTACACATTCTCTTATGTCACATACAATACTGATCGACGTTATTTTCGTTTACAATCCAATGTATTCAATGTACGACACGATACTACTACTTTAATTGCATTGTACAGAAAGATTAAAGTGCAAAGTTTGTTTAAATCATTGATCTTTTGTCGACATTTACAAACACGGAAATGGATTGTGGATGTTCAAGTATTTTTATGAAGCAAGATGCAAGATGAATCACAGATAACGATGTGAATTTATCTCATGAGGGCGAAGTGGGGTGAGAGAAATTTCACAAAGGAACTCTTATATATGCACACATAAATAAAAATATACTTTTCCAATAATCCATTAATATTCATTATTGTCATAACGTATATTCTACGTAGAACGGCAAATATTTCATATACAGCCTGCATTGAAGTAACCATGAGCATTTAGAACGGATGATAAACCCGTGTATCATCCGTCGTATGTTCTTATATGTTAAACAGGCAGGCACTTATGCGACAAATATGGATAAGGCCGAGAAAGAAATCGGCAGTCATTCTATTCGATTACGAATAAAAGTCTTACAGTTCAATATTTATTTTACGCGTATGATATTATTATATGCTTTGCCGTTTTCATCGTAATATCTCAAGATCAAGGCAAAATGTGTAAAAATTTTGATTGTTACATTTCAGTTCTCGTAAAGCACCATAATTGACTTAATTGATCCCTAAAAATGATGGCTGCGGTCAACAGTATGAAACGCTTTGTGATACATTGAAACGATTGAAATTATTCTACTGGATTTTCTCAAGCTGATATAATTCTCCTAAGCTGAACTATCGTTGGACATACGTTAACAATCAATATATTTAGACGCGTTACGCGTTAGTACGCAGAGTATTTTCAATTCTTTGGGAAATTGAAGCAAACGTGTTGCAGAGAAAAGCAGAAGTCACTACACGATTGTGAAGCAATCGTATTTTGCCGAACACTTTTTTTGCAATCAAATTTACAACAATTTGAAAAAACAAAACATCCCGTATCTCTAAAAAAATAGAATTCTCTTTGAAGATTTTATATTCGTTATGGTTGTATATTCTCTTGGTGCGTATATTGTCGAATATAATTTATTAAGTATATTTGATAAACATGCACGATGAAGAGACATACTAGAGACACCAGATATGAAATATCCACTCGGAAATTTACAAGAGTACATATACATATTGAAACGTATATACGTACCTAAATGAAAATAGCGTATTCATTTTGATTTGTTTCACGTCATTCTCATAGGCGAGTCGAATAATTATATATTTTATCCGCTAGCATGCAGATATATTTAACATGTTGCATTTTATAACAACGCGAAATGTACATATCGTGTGTATATGGAATGTTCCATCATTGACAATCATTGATTGAATCTTAACACAATAGTAGATTCTCTAACAAATCTATAACCGATTATTCGCCAATCAACACTAAAGTATTATATTTATATAAAAGCTATGGTGAAATAATATTCGCTCCAGATTAATTAGACGACAGCTTTGTCGTCGACAGCACAATATTCAATACTTAGCGTCCATGAAAGTAGATTACTTTATCCACTTTCTGAAGCGTTATAAAAAAATATTAATTCTACCCCAAGAAATATCAATTCCTCTAAAAAATATAAATTCGAGACTTTAGTCCAGCAACGATGGAACGTTCCGTATATAAGCGTACGTTTGAATATTCTACAACGTATACGTACGTACGTGTCCACACTTAATTTTTTCATAATTTTCAAATTCAATTGAGAGAATTTTACTATCATTTTATTCAGCATGCGAAGATGGAGGGATAAAGCCAATTGGCATTGCCATCTTAAAAAAGAAGTTTTTAAGGAAGAATACATGGTATTTGTATTATAATTCTTCAAAGAAGGCAACTCTAGCTTTAGTAGAACCGGATTTCACCTTCTTCAGTGTACTATACTTATTCTCACCAAGGCGAACCTGTTCCTCGTGCAGTTGATCTAACTCGCACTGCTTCTCGCCGACCTTCATAACTTCAATCTCGGAACGTAGTTCCCGTAGCTGTTCTTGCAGATGTTTGCTTTTCTCCCAATAATCAACTCTCTCCTTCTCAATTTCCAGCGAGAGTTGGTCGACATCTCCTTCGGCAATGAGATCGTAGGAGCGCAGGTCGGGTAGGGGTTCTGCATCGAGTTGAATATTTTGAAGATCCGCTTGAAGGTCCGATGGTAGAACTTGTGTAGAGGGAAACAAGTTCGATACAGGCTGCAAGACAAATTGAATAAGTAATTTGTCGATCGTTAATGTGGTATTTTACACTTTCTAGTGTTCTTTTTAGTATTCTTACTATTAATATCCTAATGGATAACATTTACTACACCTAAACATAATATTATTCTAAAAAAAACTGAAACGAACGATAATTACTAGCGTTCGGTACATTATGGCTGCGTTCCGATATTCACTGCCAGTATTGAAAATATATACTTTATGTCACATATATTATAGATTTTCAGTACTGGCAGTGAATATCGGAACGCAGCCTATGTTGCAAATAAAAAGTTGAATGCGAAATAAGCAGAAGTTACTTCGTATCAAACAAATGAACAGATTTATACTTACAGGTATAGTAGCACTATAAGCATTTCTACTGAGGAACTCTAACAGTTTTTCCTTGGCCTCTTTCTCGGCAATTCTCGCGCGTAATAGTTCGTCTTTTAATTTCTCCGCCTCGGCTGCTCTACGTTCTGATTCTTGGACCAGTCTTTCCGTTAATAGTTCAGCTTCTCTAGTCTTTCGTTCTAAATGGACCTTTTCTTCTTCAGTCTTCATGTTATTCAACCGTATACGAGTGATCTCTTGTTCAGCTTCCGACGCTTTCTGACTTAAAAGCATCGCCTCTTCCTCGGCTACGCGACTTTTCTCAGCTAAAAGATCTGCTGTTTCTTCAGATCTCCTCTACAAAACAGGAGATCAATTGCTATCTAGATGCATAGTGTGAATATATCCATATATATTAAATTATATACTTATAATTAATGCACAGACCAGAATAACAGGCTTAACATCTATTGGCACAATAAGATTTTTTAACTGCTCGCATCATATATCAATATATCCATACATCACAGATAATTATCAGGATACATGATAATGTTAACTAAACTCACGTTAATTAAAAATAATCACGTATATGTATGAAATTTTTTGTAAGATATTCGTAATTCGATATTGTACGACGAGCTACAAGTATGACAGAACAATATGGATTTATTTAAAATGACCTTGAGAATGTCTACCTGAATATTACCAGCATAGATATTAGTTTCAAGTGATTCGAACTGATTAAAGAGTTCATTTATAGATATAAAAAAGGTACAAAAAGGTATAAAAAAGTATAGAAAAAGTCGGATTTTATTCTTTTTCAAAACTTATTGCCACCAAAAAGCTCAACTTGTGTTATACGAATATGTCGACACGGTGCAAGCGACTAAACAATCCTAATTATTATTATGTTAATAGATATTACAGCTATTATGCCAGCCTGCATATGTTATTTTTCATTCATGATATCTTACGAGAGCTTCGTTCGCAAGTCGAATCTCTTCTTGATACTGCAGAAGTCGCTGTTCCATTGCAGCTTTCTCTCTCTCAGCTGCTTCTCTCAACTGTTTTTCTCGTGCTAATTTGCTTCTTTCGACTTGCCTCCTAATAACGACACAAACATTTAAAAATGACTTCTGTATAAACGAGTAAGAAAGTACAATTTATGATCAAATTGAATCAAATTGTATGAAATATTAAATTAGATGTCGTACGACTTGTATCTTATCTACAAAATAGATGAAACTATTCTTTTTTTTTGCAAATTAGGATCTGTTAACGATCTATAAAAATATATTACAATATGTAGATATTTACTGACCTTAGTACATAATAGAGACATGTCTAAATGTCAGTTCCTATAAAATTTGCAGGAGGAAGAGCAATATGTTTGTTAGAACTACAATAGTGGTTACATAAGCAAAATATTACAAAAGCTACATTTCATTATTGAATAATTAATTGTTTCAGGAAGTATGTAATGCAAAATTGCTCATCTCAAATTCAGCTCATACACATATACACTTAAACCTTAATAAAATATATTATAAATTAATGTAAAAATCATCCTGTGCACACGCACAAAACACTTGTTTTAGAGTACGAAAGCAAAATGTTCTCACAAAAATAAGCATGTTTACTTGCCTCTGTTTTTCTTCCTTGGCCTGTGCTTTCATCTGTTGAACTTCCATAGAATCTGGTTTACGCCTCCTCATAAATAGATCGTGGTTGCCAATACACAGGTCCAGGATCTTAACAAATAATACGTGAGCAGTTTTGTCACTATTATGTTCGTCCAACCCTAAAGCTATCAACCCCTTCACCCAGCTGCCAACATCTGACTGTTTCTTTACCAATTTGTTCATGCGAACTTTCTGCGAGAAGAATACGAAGTTTGGCGACGTTTTCTCCACGGGTTTGATTACAAACTTCTTGTCGTCGAAGCTGATGTGACGGATCTCTGACCATGTGAACGTAGTCTTCGGTGCTAGCTTGTTCTCCTTCTCGTAAATATTTAATCCCAAAGCCGTTACTCCGAGCCAAAGATCCGTTTCCTTTTTATTCTGCAAACGCAAAGCAAAAGATTGTAATGTTGGAAATTCTATTGACGATACTTTGATTTCACTCAAAATAACGAAATAATCGACATGAATTTATATTCAAATATAAATATACAATCGACATGATATCCATCACTGATACCTCGTTGGCACTTACACTAATAGGAAAATAGTTTACGCCGTACATATCGAGATCTTGAGCGATTTTAAGGTATTCCATTTCTGCCTCGTCCCTAGACATGCCGCGATGATCAGCATACCAAATTTTTATCCTGTCCTCCCACATTTCAGGAGTCATTTGATACTGATCTATTACTCTCTGTGGAAGCAGATCTTCGCTAGCAAGCATTCCCGGGCGATATGATACTTCGTCGTAATCGCCATACTAATAACCAAAATAGGTATTAATACTCCTTGGCAAATATAAGTTATAAGTCACTTAATTATATTGATTTTGTGCAAGAAAATCTGAAGATATTTTTATAAAACATTATTGATTCAAAAGATCTTTTAATTTGGTGTTTATAAAACATTATTTATATTTTTTTATAAATGTTTTTATCTTCACATGTTTAAATATCTAAATGTTTTCTAATATGTTTTTTGTAAAATATGTACTTTTTCATTCAAATCATAGAATAGTTAATAATAAATGTATTTAGGTAAGAAGCATGTAAAGACAAAGTGGAACAAGTCCAACACCTACTTGCACTAAAAATAGAATCTTATTTAATAGGTATATTACAGATTCTGGACTTGATCCACTTTTCGTCTAAGTAATTTATATTTTTGAGCAAAGCATTACCTGTGTGATTCAACAAGTACATAAAATTTAGCACAAATATAAACATTAAATCAATGATTTTACACAATTTGCTGCTTAGAATGTTTCTTGTGCCTACTATGTATAAAATAAATTTATATATTATAGTTTAACTTCTCACTATGAATTATACTTTTGTATCTGATATAACAAGAAATACCTTTGCTTGCACAGCATAGGAAGCTAGCAATACAGAAGCCTCAGGTGGACAATAAATATCCATAGACAATATAGCCTGTTTTACTTGAAGGAAGAATAGATGTTGAGTAACTTCTTGTACAAGTTCTTCAGATACATCCTCAGGATAGAATTTGGCCAGAAACATAAAGGGTGTTGTTGGTTGCTGTGAAATACCTTGATCTTGGACTAGGAGTGATTTAACAATATTAAAATAAACACAATAGATCCAGGAAATTCAATATATCAAACAATCAACAGTTAATAGTACTTACCTTTCTTATCCAGTTTTAACCAGGAGATAAAACCTTTGGCATCCTCGTACTGCAACCCAAAGTACCATGTTTCTCTTAACCCTATTGTGCGACACACCAAATCAAACAGGTCTCTGCCTGTTGATCTCCACTGTAGAATCATGTGGAATTCGTTAGAAATTGTGAGATAACATACAGAATGTCCCTCAACAAGTGTCAAAAGTTCTGCTTAACGTGAGGAACACCCTGTATAAAAATAATATATATTGTGACAAGCACTGCGACTAACCTCCAGATTAAACTCGAGCTCTGCATCCAAGGTGCAGACTTTCACGGGAAACGACTTTCCCGACTTTTTTCTGCGGAACGGTGACATCTTACTTTTCATTATGTTCGCAACAGCATCGCGAAAGACACGTTGGAGCGATCGTTATCGCGACAGGCGTTATCACGAACGATAATAAACTGCATTACAACTCGCGCCGAAAAACACCTCAATGCAGCGCCGACATTTTCGTGGCTCCCCGTCAGCGACGTTATGACGAGCTCTGAATAGACCACGAAACCTTATATTTATCCATCCATACGCGACATAATCACGAACTTCATTCAACCGGCACGGATCGCGTTCAAACGGCCGACATTTTCACTCGCACATGTTCGCGCAATCACGTCCTGTCTGACTCGCAATTTCACACATGATCGAACATATTTCCACGAGCATAACCGACGTACGCAAATGTATATATCTGCAAACGATGATTCGTTCCCACCTTCACACACGTGCGAACGTGACATACTATATATTAATATATATAGTAACGCAAAATTCCACACAGGATCGTTGAATTTGTCGTTGAGCTGCACTACGACCTTGTTTTCATACCGAACAGTGACGATTTCTTGCGAAGACTTTGGGGCGGATTCATACTTTGGCAGCAATGCAGAAAGTAGAAGGCAGCAGCCAGTTAGAAGTCACGCTGATCGTCTATCTCTCTCTCTCAAGAAAGACAGACTATCAGCAAGAATTCTGATTGGTTCTGCCTTTTTTCTTCCCCAAGTGTGAATTCACCCAAAGGGAAGTATATCAACGACATATACAGGGTGTCCGGTAATTAGGTAGGGTAGCTGCCAACGCGAAATGTGAAGGTAAATCGGGTTAAGACAAACATAGAAATCCCATACCGTTTTACGAGATTCGCAATAATTATCGAGTTATTAATGATCTGATTCGTCAGAATTCTGACGAATGAGCGCGCGCTGAGATGGATGATTGGAGAAGCGTCGCAGCCTCTCGGGTTACAGCGCGGCCCAGTTGTTGACCCAGGCCAAGATCCGTAAATAGAGAAACGGAACAAAGTCAGGTCCTCTCATCCACTTCACACGGTTTAGCTCGAAAATGGCGGCGATCGTGGTTCAGCTGATTAACCACATACCGTTAGGTCAAAAATTATTTTCGTTTTTTGCAATCTTTTGTACTACAGTCGGCGTTGTAATTCTTTTTCTTCTGAAAATTCTCACTGATATTTTGGAATGTGTTTAAACTATGTTTTGATTATTTCTGATTGCATCTTAAACTATTGGTCTGTTCTTTTTAGTTGCCCTGCAGAATTAAGCCAGCGGCACACGGTGCTTGTTTTCGTGCTGGATTGCTTGCTGGTGAAAATATTGCGTTGTGATTGATACATTTCCGAAAATGGATGGAAATGCACCAATCAGAACGCAGTATTTTCATCCAGCCAGCAATCCAGCACGAAACAAGCACCGTGTGCCGCTGGTTTAAGTATACTATGGCTGCGTTCCGATATTCACCGCCAGCATTGAAAATCTATAGTATACGTGACACAAACCATCTATTTTCAGTACTGACTGAATATTGGAACGTAGCCTATGTCTGCGGCATTTCGCAAACTGTCTGCCCATCTTTATACTTCATGCACTAATGCATAACTGAATTAGAATTGAGGAAACAATCTTATGACATCGATTGAGTTTCTTTATTAATTAATACAAAAAACAAATTATCATAATATATAAGTTACCAGAAAAGTAAATCACATTAGGAATAAAAAAATTAAAACGTAAAAACGGCAAAATTATCGATGAAGACTGCCCCACATCAGAGATTAGTTATGGTTGGTGATCGCGACGGGTGAGTTGATTGTTTACATTACTTTTCATAACATATATTTTGATCTAAGCAATCGACTAGCTCTAAAGGAGTGAATCTTCTTAATTATATAAATTCTGTGTCCTATGTTGCAATATAGTTAGAATTTTGATTTAGAAAAATAAAATTTGTTAAATTAAAATTTGTTAATTTAATTTAAAAAATGCAACCAAAGAATTTCACCTATTATTATTGATATAATGTATGTGCTTTATATGTGCTGTATTTTTTAAAATAATTTAAAATCATTTATAGGTTGAAAGAATTATTGAGACGCAGATTAGTTGAATGTGGATGGCGAGATCAAGTGAAGCTGATATCAAAAGAACTAATAAAGGAACATGGTCATGATATTACTTATGATATACTACTGTCTACAGTTACAACCAAGGCTCGTACACTTGTACCAGATTCAGTTAAGAAGGAACTATTGCAGAAAATCAAGAATCAACTGATAGCTCAAGAGGAAAAATTAAAGATTGTATCGGATCGTTGAAAACCTTATATATTTTATAATTAAAATTGTTCATGTATAAAAATATTTATTTGTATATTACAATAATTTTTTGTCATAATATGTTTAATTATATACAATTTTGCAATGAAACATCACATTTAATGTAAATATCATATAAAGTTACTTTTAAGGATCATGGTTGGATAATTACATAATTAAATATGATGTATATTGATGATTTAAATATAGTTTTAAGGAATAAAGCGTGATGATATCAAATATAATAATTTAATTCAACGTTTAATCGACATACGTGGAATTATAATGGAATAAATATATAATACAGTATCTGAATTTTATTTATTAATAATATTTCTTACCAACAGAGGGCAGAACTCTGCGGTAAAGCTACGAATTGAGTTAGGTTAGGTCAGAATTACTGGTGAAGTTACGGAGCAGCACTTTGCTTTTCGTTTGACTTTCCATCCGTTTGATTATTCTGCGGTGTCGACAATTCAAACTAGTGATAAGTGCTACAAAAACTTAGCGTAACAGTTAATTGCTGAAAAATGTTGATAAAAGTGAAGGTAATTATACCTATCTGACAGTTCCATTCCCTCGAAGTAGGCGTCGATTTATCATAATACTAATTCCAACCTTGTTTCAGACCCTTACGGGAAAAGAGGCAAGTTTTGTACGAATTAAGAAGCAAACAGCCCTGCAAAATTGAGTGATGCAATCGCTGTGCGATCAGAAAAAATTATACTAATTGTTTTATTGCAAAAGCTGATTCAGTTTCTTTCCTTTACTTAAGGAAAAACAACTTAAAGAATTTAATTTGGAAATGTTATATTCCGCATAGAATTATTTATAGATTTATATCTCACATTTCAATAGCTTCTTTTCGAATAGATACATCTATTCTAGATGTTTTTTATTTTACTTCATTACTTTTCTCTAAATACATCTTTGTAAATTGATTGATGTACCGTTTGAATTTGAAAATATTTATAATTAAACAATTGTGCATATACTTATAATTTTAATCAATCACGTATTATTTCTTTAGATTGAGATAGACATAGAACCCACGGATAAAGTAGAGAGGATTAAAGAAAGAGTGGAAGAAAAAGAAGGAATACCACCGCAACAGCAGCGACTAATATTTTCTGGCAAACAGATGTAAGTATAAGTATTATCATTGTATAGTATCGCAATATTATTTAATAATAATTTAATAATATGTAAATTGTATGTTTTCTTGTGATATATATATTCTATGTCTTTTTGTGACATTGATCTTTTTAACAATCAGAGGGATATATTCCAGAAATTAATTTTTTATTGTTCTTACGGAATGAGGATAATGTAACATAATGTCTTTTATTCATCCATTTTAGTTTTTTTCAGTTGTGTCATTTTCAATACATATCAATTGTAGATAATACATTATGTACCTACTCTAAAAAAAATCAGAAATATTAGAAATAATATTAAGAAGAGAAGTGGCTCCAATAATTGTGACATAATAAGGATTGTGTCTGTATTTCAGGAACGATGAGAAAACTGCACAGGATTATAAGGTACAGGGCGGGTCGGTGTTACATTTGGTACTTGCATTAAGAGGAGGTTGCAAATATGACATTCTTTTTCTGTAAATGAGCCCATACTAAGAAATCATCCTATCAACAAGATGAAAAAACGCAGAATCATCATGCGTTAGTAATGGTCATCAGTATGTTCATCTATGCTCGCAGAGCACACAATCCTCGCCATTCGACGTGATTACAACTATAGCTTAATTGCATTCACAATCTAAATAAATATTTAATAAACTAATTTAATGTCGTGAATAGCAGGTGTTTCTATTTAAAGCAATTTTACAATGAACGATAGCATATATTTGATCCTCTAATACTTTTCTGTTACTCCTTTGAATTTTGCGCTAGTTACAATGTTGTAAGTCAAATCAAAAGTTACAATATTGTAAATACGTCGATTATATATATATATATATACATATATATATATATATATATATATATATATAATCGACGTGTATATATATATATATACACACACATATATATATATACACATATATATATATATATATAGAGGACAACCTCTCTAATCGCAAGAGATAGAACTGACGTTTGAATTTATGAAGAACATTTTCGTGATGACTATATATTATTGATAAGCACATGATATAATAATAAATATAGATATTGATGCATTTTCATCAAAGAATAGATGCGAAGGATCAAATCACTCAAACATTGTCAATTGCTTCTTTTCTGTTGGCCTTTACAATTTACAATAATTTCGTAAAAAAAAGTCATGATTTATTTTCGCTAGAAAAGTAAACTACACAGAACCTAGCTCGAATTTTGTAGCGTTAAATAAACAGTTATTTTCTCTTAAATATTTATTTCGTGTATCATACGTGAATATTAGATATATACTAAAATCACCAACCGATTGCGACTATTTCATTCTTTTTCTATGTTCGTAATAATAAGTCTTTAAAATTGTATCGTCTATTACTTTGTAAACACACAAGTAGCCGTAATTGTAATACAGAAATCCATGTCAACATCATTTTTCCCGCGGATCTCCCATTGTTGACATCAATGACGATACATTAGTAAATAAAGCTGTGAAAGTTTAATCATTTTCAAACCAAAATTTGAAACTCGATTATCGAAACTCCCTAACTGCAAGGAAAGTACTGCATCGCGAGGGACGTCGACATGGCATACGTTAAAAGATCTTCATTGTCAATACAAACACAAGAAGGCACTCTATAGATAGCGATACAAGAATAAAGCGCTATAACGACGTTAATTAAATTACCCCTAATGCGAAGATACTAATATAATAATAATAATTGTATTGAGAGATGCAGAGAATGAAGCGCTAGTAAATTTGCTACCGAAGGATGTAGAATGTCTTCTGGCACTACGCGTTTAAAACGAAGTTGCGAGTCTTTCACACGTTAGATCCTATCGAGCGGACGCTTAACACAAGGAACACAAAGCAGCACCGACACGATCATCACACGAAGATAGACCACTAGAATAAGACTGAATAACGCGATGAATTTTCACAATAGAGACAGGTAGACGTATCGGGCAGGATTTAACGTACGAAGACGCGCGCTCAATTGGTCCACATGACGACGTTCAAGAGACCAAAATCTTACGTGTGCCCATAGAATTTGAATATGTGCGTCTGTGTATGTGTGTGTATGTGAGACTGAAGGGAAGAAAAAGAAGGAATGAATATTTTATATATAAATTTGTATAATGTATATAGGAACATCGCGATGCAAAAAAAGAAAGAGAAAAAAAAAGAGAGACCATTACAGTCACGCGTCTCACTCCAACATGTGACCCCAGGACTCAACGACTGCCTGACGTTCAGTTTCTGTGATATCTGCTATTGTGCGTCGCCCGGCTCCACTTGGTCTTGAAGACACGCTGGCAGATATTGCAATACGCCGCGGAATTGGGTGAGTCCTCGTGCTTGGACGTGATGTGCCGCAGGAGCGCGTGCTGCGTGGTGAACGTGACGCCGCACTTGTCGCAGTATGACGTCGGCGTGTAGGCGCTTCTGGTCGTCAGCGTGCCACCCATCGCCTTCGACGGCTCTACAAATGCATTCCTCGGTTTTTACCTAAATGGAGGGCTGCTAAAGGGAATGCTGGCCATGCGCTCTTGCCCGCGTCTCAAAACACCGTAACGAGAAATCGCACCGGCGCGGGCGCTCGGTGCCGGCGAGCGCGTCTATGGGTGATCGGACCGCTCTGGCGTACATTAACGCATTATGGACCGCTATACTTCTTTCTTAAACTTCTTCTGCTACCGGTTTGCAAATAGGTTTTAAACAAAGTTTAAAACGGACTTCAAGCTGACTGAAATACTTCCATACGGTCCGTAATATGTTACAGCGTTCGCTACCACCAGTGATAATAATAAAGTAATAATAATAGTAGTAATAAACAAGCAGTAATAATAAAAAACAATCTCATTTGTTTATGTGGACATAGGATAAAAAAATATCTCGCTGTCAAACGCCTGACGTGGATCTCTCGAGAGGATCGGCGTCACACATGTGTGGTGTGTGGTAGCGAACGTGTTAAATTATTTATATATTGTATAATAACAATTGATCATATAATATACAACATAATTTGAAAGCTGCAGAAAGAGGAAGAGGAAGAAGCTCTGAAGAGAGTCAAGCAACGCGAGGTGGTGCGAACAGACGGCAAGAAATCTTGTTCCTTCGTCAATCTCAAGCGAATTTTCTCATGCTTGATAAGAACAGATCTTAAGTTGATCATCTCGCGCGTGCGGGTGTACGAAAGAGAAAGAGAGAAAGAAAGAGTCTCGCTGACGTCTCGGGAACCGGGGACGTTGTTTCTTCGCTCGTCGACAACTTACTTGCGCGAGAATTCTATTTAGATCAGACCACTTAATTTAATCAGATGCTTAATTTGTTATGCGGGAAATTAATACGGTGACTCGGCAGAGAGATGCGAAAACATGCGCGTTTATGTCGATTTATTTCACTCGATGTGCGACAACGCGTCGCAAATGGTGATATCGATTTACGCGAGAGGTACCGAATTATTTCTGCCGGCGAATTTTGTAATTACATCGATGTGAATTACCGTGCGATCTATCAATATGGCTAATCAATCCCACCGCTTTCGCATGCCTGCTCCTGAATCATTGAGACATTGTTCTTCGCTTTGTCGTTCGATGTCATCCTTCGTCGAAATAAACATTCGTTGTACGCACTTGCGAGGTGATTTCTATCAATCCATCCGCCACAAACGAAGCGATTGAATCATTTGCCGGAGTACGTTAAGCGTGAGGTCGACAATGAACATTTGCGATCGGCATGACGTACACAGCGATCTTTCGAAATTGCCAAGGACGCAAATGCTATAAATTACGATTCAATTTACTTCGTCGCAGGAGATCACGGTGTCAATTAAAAAATAAAATGTACGAGAAGAATGATAAAATGAAGAACAGAACTCGTCGGAAGAGAGATCCGCAGCCCTCCGAAAGGGTAAAGCGATTAGCTTATCAGGAATGTAAGATGTGTGGTGCGATGCTGATCATTCGAGAGGCGCCGAGACTCCTCCGTCACAAGAGCGTGTCCATCAGAAATTCTTTTATTTACATTTTACTGCGATAACATTTGAAAGCGTAGTCTTATACGATTTTTAATTAAGTTACAAGCTCACAATTATGATACCGAACGTAACGCGTACCTGAATAGAACGCAATGCTCTCATGCTACCACAGGTGTGTGTCCTTCACGTATCTACAGTTAGTCCCTAAACTCGCTGCGACTACATACATCCGCTGTGCTTCCCTCCGCGAGAGAGAAAGAGAGAGAGAGAGAGAGAGAGAGAGAGAGAGAGAGAGAGAGAGAGAAAGAGAATGCTTAACCCTTCCAGACCTAGACGGACGACTCTTACTTACGCCGAGAAAATAACTTTTCCGAGATCCTTGTTTGAACAGAGCGGTGGGTTTTCTTCGAACAGGGACTTCGAAATGGCAGCTTTGGGGTGGAATCGCGTCTAGAAGGGTTGAACGATTTTCGTTTTTATTATTTTTTTTTCTTTCTCGCCCTTCGAACACGTCCTCTCAATTTCGTAACGCGCGGTATGGCACCGGCGAGTTCTACCGGCAAATTTCTCGAAAAGCACGCACATCGCACATCTCAGTTCTCTCCTCGGGATTTTTCGGAATACACGTATAAAAATTTGTCAACCGAGAGAATCGCGTTCTCTTCGAGATCGCCCTGTCAAATCGATCTCGACGAATCCGAGAGATGTGAGATTTCATCACAACGATCCTTCTCCCCCCCTTCCCCCCGTGATTTTCCTCTTCGACCAACTGCGCCAGACTACGGCTGTACTGTGTTGTTTCTTCCGGAAATTTGCGGATAGAATTTCTCTCTTCGCCGCGTCTTGCATTCGCCCCCTCTGCATCTCTATATGTTCTCTGTCAGTACTAAATTCTGCAAATCGTTACATCTCTCTAGGATATACTAATTACCTGAATCATTGCGTCAAAACTTTAACTTCGAACACGTCTACACGCAGACAGAGCCGTGTTCTTCGGCTGTTCTCCTCAGTGAGACCAAAGCTCTTTCTCGTCGTCCGTGTCGCCGCAGTTCGCGATGAACTGTGCGAGACGACCACGCATTACGCACTTTTCTTTTCTGTTCTTTCTCTCGGACGACTTTAATCCGACACACTCGATGGGGGCGATCGTCTTACTCTTATCTCCTCGTTCTCCACGTCTCCTCGCACGGTGACAGCTCTGCGAATTCGACTTCGAAGCGCTCGAGTATCGCGAAGTCCGAGAATCCCTGATCTGTCGAAGCAGCTACATACGCAGCCACATAAATATATTCTCGTACGCTTCTCCGCGTTGCATTAACCCGTTAAGTGCCGAGTTGAGTTGCAGCACTACGTGTCATCTCGACGTCATCGGGACATGGAAAGCACAATTAATCGCGACGCGCGTCTCCCTCTCCGTCTTTCCTTTCTTCGCGGCGCGGTCAATTCTCCGAACGGCAATTAATGGGTTAAATGCGGTTTTTTGGACACGATGACGGCTCCTCGTGCTACGATCAACAACTATGATTACGGATTCACTTATAATACCTACGTGTAAATACTCAGGTGCACAGGTGCGATGTCACTCTCGAAAACGAAACGAAATGCAGACGCACGCGTGCAAGCACGCGTCACACACGCGTGCGTACATACATGCGCCTTGCTCAGTTATTGTACTACTTGTTGCATAATACTTGAATGCGCTCGCTAAAATAAGGTATCCCCGCTTGCGAAATCGCTCCCGTGTATGCAGATTACTTATTTAATAACAACAACAACGGTACGCGTCCGCGTGACGCTTTATATTCAGATCTGTCTTTGGATACATCTGACGCAGAGTTCGCGAATGCACGAAACCAGCGCTTCTCTGAACAATTAGACAATCACATTGAACACCAAGAATTACTATACTGAATTAAAAAATGAATACAATACGCGTGAGTACATGTATACACAGGGTGTCCCAAAGAATCGATGTCTCGACATTCTTGCATTAAGATTTTGGACTTTAATTATATATAAGCTCCAGAGAATATGTTATTAAAATATTGTACTATGCTTTTGGGGCACTCTGTATGTGTGTATGTGTGTGTGTGTATATATATATATATATATATATATACACACACAGCTTAAAAATAATAACTAAATAGGACGTTCATTGCGATTTCGAAGATCACAAGAACTTCCGTATATACGAAGAAAATGTTTGCAACTTCTCAGAACTCGATTTTTAATATATTTGAAACTAAATATAAAAATGCGCGAGAATAAACGATCATTATAACAAAAAAAAAATATATTATTCAAATCGTATAGATTTTTTCTGTCGTTATCTCCTTCTATCGGTAAATTAAGAAAAGTCCCCTTTTCTTTTCATCGCAAGAAGAAAAATGCGCGCGCGCAACTTCTCGTCATCGGGAAACGCTGCTTTCGCGCTCTCGTACAGAGACAATGTTTACACGAAGCCGGTAACAAAAGTAACGGCTACTATATCGATGCACCGCATCGCTAGATATATTCTTGTCTATGGTAAACATCTGGAGAAGTTAATGCATAAAATGTAAAACCAGGTATTCGTGTGTAAGGCACTGTCTATGCGCTGTCTCGACAGCATGAAGCTAAGGCCCGATGTACACATGGAAGCCTCGTTATCCACGAGACAGACTCGTGGTTATTACGCGAGTATAATAACAGTGTTCCTGCAATGAGTTCCTGAGAAAATATATTGAGTTTCTACGTACACACACGCACACACACAAAACTGACGATGTATCCTATATCCGCGATGAAAAGCCACTTCGCATTATCTGCCTTTCCACTCCGTTCTCTCGATAGAATTCGTCTCTCAGTGGAGACTACTCAAGATGTATCGCGACAAAGTGACTTTCTATGAAATTACTTCAAGTACATCGAGATGATGAGAAATGAGGAGGAAATTAACGAGTATCACACCTCGTTGAACAAACGGAGCCGAAGAGCCTTCGAGGTGTACACCGAGCCCAAGAGTCGTTCGCAAAGAAACCTCGGCACATGGCATACGAAACGTGTAAACAGTGTCCGTGTAACAGTGTCGGGGGCGGGGAAGGGGGTGGCTGCGGAGAGAGGATTACGTTGCGGAGCCCCCGGGGTTGCGTCGAGGAGCATAAAAAAATAACTTCGACCCGTTAGTCCTGTGTGAACGAGCGATAGAGATCTCGATAGATAGTCTAATGTCCCGTACTGTAATGACTAGAATCCTTCAAGACCGCCGATTCATTTGTCCCGAGAGGCGACCGGCCGGAATTCCGCACGGAAATACGAGCCCTCCCGCTTTTACCGAGAGGTCCTTACAGCAAACGCGAGGACCCAGTGTACGCGAGATCCTTCTACAAGTATCTTCTAATTCTCCGCAAACTGCGGTAAAACTTCTCAGGAAAAACTTCAATCAGTTTCCCTTTCGCAAGAATCATCTTCCGTGTTGTTTTACTCGTTGCGTTCGCATTGTCGTTAACATCCAGCACATATTTTCTCTCGCGTATGAAATCGCCGGCTCGGACACCGAGTCCTCGTGTTTTGCGTGTTCGCTGCTCCCAGGAGGATTCCGCAGTGGCCCCGGATCGGCGAGAGCCGCCCCTCCTGTGTGTTCGTCTCCCTCTATCTTATTGTGTGACGTATACGAAACGCGGATCCTTAAACACGTATCTCACTGAATTCGCCTCACCGGCGCGCCTAAAGCGCGCAAACTCGCGATCCGCTAACGTTAACACAATCGCCAACTGCGTGGAAACACACTTAGCGAAGATAAATACGCGCGTACAGCAAAGCTAGACACATCAATTCCCGCGTAAACGCATCTCTAAATGCGGCGTCGGTATGACTTTTTCTCTTCTTCCTCATACCGAGCCGAAAGAAAACGCGAGGCATCTCCGCCCCGATCGCGCGAAATCAATCAATCGAAACGCAACTATCCACTACCTTCCAGCGAGTCGTTTCATACAGGTTGCACCCGAGATACGCACAGCAATGTCTCCGGCTCTTCGAGAGAGCAACGAGGTCACGAGGCCTCGTTTGAATATTCGACCGCGAAATATCGTCGCTCGAATCGGGTATACCCTGTACAAGCAGCGCAGTGGGTGAAAAGGATCGGTTGATTTCGAACGAGGCCGAATAAATCACAAAACGCGCTTATCACGTCGTTCACTCAGAGTCATTACAAATATAAATGGTAGCCATCCTCGTCGACTGTCTTTGTTAAAATCGCAAAAATTAGTCGCTTGTACGTCTCTCATTCTCGCCTTTGGTCTCGCTATTTTGTATCGTTTTCTGCGCAGGACACGGATTCGGAATTTTGTTTTCTCTTCTCTCTTCATTCGATCTTCTTCACCCAGCGCTATTATACTTGTTAGGTGTAACGAGCTTGCGAACCGCCGACGATTCTGTGGATCGCGAAATGTCTAAATGCGTTATCAACGAAGATATATAATTCTTTCGCACGATTATAATATATAAATATTTATAATAATAATGCTTTAATACCGCAGTAGAGAAATTCATTTTGCATATTTTAGCCGGACTTAGATAGATTCGACTAAAATCAAAATACACCCACGTTCAGGCAACCACACACATCGTCACTCTTTCCTCGTTAAAAATTAATTCGCTCGCGTAACAACAGCCAACGTTTTCTCAGTTAAACGATGTAAAATTATAAAAAAAGAAAATAGAAAGAAAAAAATGTAAACGCTGCTTCGATACTTCACTCGTTTCGGAGGAAGAGGGTGGTGAAGTGCAAAATCAACGTTTTACGTTGCTTTCAATCAGTCGCGCGAGAGCCCGACTACGGACTTACTTTCCCTACATCGTCTCATGGTGGCAGCACGTTTATTTTCAGCAAACAACGGCGAAACTCGTGTGATGTGATGCCTCCAAATTATAAAGATCAATGCGCCTCTCGAGAAAAGCGCATCCTCCGAACGTGAACGTATTCGCTCGCACGCATCGCGAAGTAAAAATCAGCAAGCAAAGAGGCGCGTAGAGAAAACTTTTCCTTCGCGAGAGAGATTTTCGTCCTCCAGATCTTCGTATATCTTCTTTCTTTTTTTCCTTTTTCTTTCTTTTTTTTTTCGAAAACGGCGATTACGCAGGCGATCGTCACCTTAACGCCGTTTTTAAGCCGAACAACTCCAAAACTCTGTTCATTTCTACGAAATGTAATGCAATACATGCAATGAAGCCACGATGTACTCTTCTTTCTTCAATTTAAAACTAGAAAATATAAATTTTCATTTACAGCGGTAAAATAATCGATAACGTTTAAGTGTAGAATATTTTCTTGTCGACGAGACAGAATTTAATCGTTTGCGAATAAATTGTTCAACTAAATTATTCGAATGCGCAATGTGGAAGAGAGATCCGAAAGGTAGCATAATTAAGGTGACGAGCCGTCTGGCCGCGATCGATCCTATAAAACGATGAACTCTCGTGCAATGAACGCACCGCGAAACACGCCTTCGCGGCGGCGGCGGTGTCGTTCGACCATTTAATGATAGTGTTGCGATCGTCAATGTATATCATTATATCATATATCGCGGTAGACACGCGGACGACGCTCTCTACGAGTCCAATTCGCTTTTCGGGCTGCGCTGCCTGTGCGTTTTCGGCCAATGCATTTGGTGTTTCAGGCGCATGTGACGGCGCAGATCGGTTCTACGACTGAGAGTGGTGTGGCAGAGGATGCAGGTCGTCTGGTTGCGATGCACTTCGAGGTGCTGGGTCAGCGAAGCGAGGTGCCTGTAAACGTTTCCGCAGATTCGGCACGGAAAACGCCCCGGCCCTTGCATCAACGCCTGACCGGTTGTATCGCCAACGTGCTTCCGATTGCGTCCCACCCCCCCTGCAACACATTAACACAGCCACGTGACCCGCCGATTCCTCACAATTATCAACGGATTATAGAACTCACAGGGGAAGGAAGTGTTGGACTCGACTGGGCAGGGCCCGGTGAAGGACGAGTGGAGAGGGTGGAGGGTGGTGAAGGGGCACGATGGTGACACGTTAACACAGGCCATCCATTGCGAGGGGATCGTCAGTCGATTACCGAGAGCGAGAAACTTCGGCCTCGAGAACGCGAGAATTTTAACCCTTTGTCCGGATTGGCGCTTCTTGACACAAGCCGACCACTTCTTCGCGAATCGAGGAGACATCAAGGATGTGCGAGGGCAAAGAGAACATTCCCGATCGAACGATGATTGCAATTTCGCCGGCTCCGCATGCCGCGGGGCCTAAATTGAGATGCACTTTCGCCGCGCTTCCCGTGCCGAACTTGTCGACGTCGACAGAAAAGAGGATCGGGTGAGATCGCTGAATCGCGGGTAAAGGGTTAAAAGAGTCGCGCGCCCTGCCGAGCTGACGCACGACGCATCGACGAAGAACGCGCGTCTGTTCAACACTTTTGGTCCTGGGACGATTTCGTGTGGGGTCAACGTGCACTGTATTATACCGATGTGTTAGCAAGGCGCTGGGTAGGACGTCCCCGAAAAGCGCGCGATCGACTGATGATCCTCCTCGAAAAGTGTACGTGTACGTGTGTGTGTGTGTGCGTGCGTATGTGTGTGTAAACTCTACCCTCTTCGATCGGCTCCCGACCGAGGCTAAGGCTTTGCGTGGGGCCCGAGCAGACCCCCAGCGTCGCATATTCATCTCTAACACACAGTACAACAGTTATCAGATCGTCATGCACGACATCGCTCATTTCTCGTTCAACCCTCACTCGGCTTTCACCCTTGTTGAAAAAAAGCAGCGTTGGACAGCGAGCGATTGATCGATCGTCGTTGTCGTCATCGTCATCGCGTTCTCCGCCCCCACGATCGAACGACAAAGCGCGATCACGCGAAAATCGGAGAATTACGACGAAAATCCAATTCCTCGATCGCGATCGATCAACCCGATTTCCGTTTTTCACTTTCGTCGAAGCGTCTCATTTTGTTCGTTGATCGCGATTGTCGACAATTCGACAATTATAAAGAGGACTAGTCGCTCTAATTTTCATCTCCTCTTATCCGATAATCGTCAACTCTCGACGATCACTCCTTGTGCCCAACGCTGCTCCTGAGACACATACACAAGTCACAAGTGCATTTAATATTGCCCTAGGACACATTGTACAGTTAGTATATAACAGCAACCTGTTATATACGACACGGTCGTAGGTGTACTGCAACAAATATGATTATACATAGCTGCATCGTGAACACAGCGAGCAGATCTCGACGTGATTGTCGTGCCGATGCTCGTTATGGCTAGCAGGCAACGGCACCGACATAAGCTGCACATAATGTATGTAAGTGTATATGCGTGCGTGTATGTATGTATGTATATATGCAGTTAGACTCGCTTGAAATTCACAGTTGTAGCACGAGTTGGCGAGATTATTACGTAAATCGCAGGTAGGTAGGTAGGTAGGTAGGTAGGTAGGTAGGTAGGTAGGTAGGTAGATAGGTAGTAGGTAGGTAGGTAGGTAGGTAGGTAGGTGGTAGGTAGGTAGGTAGGTAGGAGGTAGGTAGGGTAGGTAGGTAGGTAGGTAGGTAGGTAGGTAGGTAGGTAGGTAGGTAGGTAGGTAGGTAGGTAGGTAGATAGGTAGGTAGGTAGGTAGGTAGGTAGGTAGGTAGGTAGGTAGGTAGGTAGGTAGGTAGGTAGGTAGGTAGGTAGGTAGGTAGGTAGGTAGGTAGGTAGGTAGGTAGGTAGGTAGGTAGGTAGGTAGATAGGTAGGTAAGTAGATAGGTAGATAGGTAGGTAAGTAGATAGGTAGGTAGGTAGGTAGGTAGGTAGAGGTGAGTAAATCAGGGTGCGATTGCTGCAATTCGGTCGCCCTAGCGCTGCGTCTCATCACGTGTAGACCCCGACACGTGCGTTGCGTGAAACGACGGAAGTGCAAAAGCGATTCCATTCATTCGTTGTCGTTGTCGTTGTCGTCATCGTCGTCGTTGTCATCGCGGACGTCGTTTATTGCGAGTCGCGGCGCGAGCGTATGTGCAGTTTATGCTCTAAAGTGAAGAAGAAAAAGAAACGAGAGAAAAAAAACAGAGAACAAAGAACGAATCAACGTGGAGGAAGATCCAAAGCGGTGCGGAGAATCCAGACTGTACAAAAGAAAGTACACACGATACACATGAAAAAAGCCGGAGAAACGCTTTTCTTTTTCTTTCTTTATTCGTGAAGGAAAGAGGAGAGTGTCTCACACTCACGGTTGGAATTTACGAGTGTTTCTTTTCTTGTTATTTTTTTTTCCTTTTTTTCTTTCTTTGCAACTTTATTCACACATATGTCCACTTACATTATTAGCCTGCATAAGCCAAACATAGGAGATTACGTAATTGATATATTATTATTTTATATTACTTTTATGTATACATATATATGTCTCATCTCTTTCTTCTTTTATAAATAATGAACTAAGGGAATATATCAATTCGTTTCTATAGGGCAATTAATTAATAGCGGTCTTGTACTTATCTCTTATCAATTCGTGGCAATCCGAGGAATGTGCACATTCGCTTTCTCTCTCTCGTAACAAAATAGTGTTGTCTCGTGTTGGTGTATGTACGCGTGAGTGTCGCGTGTGTATGCAATTTATTACACACGCCTGTAAACACCGTCATTCGATTAATTACACATACGCGCGCATCATATGTGTATATGCGTATATATAAGTATATAAATAAAACGCGGGGATGAATATATATATATATATATTTTTTCTTTATTACATTTTTCGCGCGCGCGTATATATATATATATATATATCTTCTTTCTCAAAAAAACTTAAAACAAGCCGTAAGGTAACTTAGGTAAAAGAAAATTTTACGTAGAAACAAATAAATTAATGTTAACAGCATCCGAACCACGGCTCACGCGCATGCGGCGTACCGTTCTGCAACGTTGAGACTAACGTGCGAATTGTGCAACCAGCGCGGCAAACCGGTTTAAGGCTACGTTAAACCGAATCTCATCGTGATCAATGAAATATATTTAACGATCAATTCCTGCGCGCGACAATAAATTCCCTTGAAATTTTCCTTCTTTGGTTCGCCACGTTTCTAACTAATTAATTGGAATAGAGTGTTCTGCATTTATTAAGATTTACCTTTCAGTCGCGGAGATGCTGAGTGCGATTCAAAAAAAAATTCAATACCAACGACGAAGCCTTGAATTAAATTTCGCGAGTGAAAAGCCGATAAATAAAATCTCATTTTCCAACTTGATCTCATGGGGAATTTATGCCAACGTGAGGATCTCGCGCGAAATTTAATTATCGAGCACAATGAAATGTCGACATCTCGGACAATTGCGACAGATATGTCTACGACGAAACGTTCATTGAAAAATCGACTCTAAATGCCGTCGAAGGCTCCACGACTGAAAGGTGCGTTCCGAAAATGTTTTGTACAACTCAAAATAAAGTTTCACAGGCCAATTTGGAAAGAAATAAATGCATCCGCCCCGCTGGTCTTGATGCATCGGACCGCGAATGAACGAATAATTTCTCCGAAGACGAGTAATCTAACATATATCTACGAGTTGAAATAATTGAACTAGTTGTAATTGCACTAAGTTGCGTTCCCGTTCGCAAACTAGCGTCGGTCCGTCGCACTTGTCACAGTTATAGTTTGCTATAACTTTTTGGTACTTTGCCAGTAAACACTGTTCTCGAACGAAAGAGATCATACATTGCGGGTGGGGTAATAAATCGTTCAATAAAAACGAAAATAGTAGCCTCTCTTTCTCTCTACGGAAAAAAATTACTTGTACTTATCGATAGTCACTTGGTGTGTCACACAGCGCATGTTTCGCGGTGTGCTCGAATGAATCTCCTGTCGATTAAACTTAACACGCACAGAGTGTAAAAGTTGCATTTTTACATTAAACGCACGTACAGTACTGTCCATAAGTTCATAGATATATAATTGCATATGATTGTAAGATAACCTTTTAAAATCATTATATATATATATAATTATATATATATATAATTTTTAGAGAGATATAAACTTTATAAGTATAAATACATATATATTTAACTTTTTAAATAATTATACGTAATTTTATAAATTTTATCCATATTCGCGAACTTATGGACGGTAGTGTAATATTCAAATAAATAAAATCGCTCGTCGTTATACAAACGTAGCTATGTATATATGTATATTCTTATCGAATATTCATTATTCAAGAATTTAATGTAAAATTCGCACAATAATAAGAAAAGATACGTGACTATCGATGAACTCCGAGTCCCTATTTGAAGATGGGGCGAAATGAAAATCCTCCCTAGCGCATGATTGTGCATTCATGTAGTCGCGAAGTCGGAGCTGATTAAAAAGAAAAAAAGAAAAATGAAACAAACAATAACGACAACAAAAATAAACAAAAGATAATAATATAATAATAATAATAACATGATACGGCATATTACGGTGATTCCCCTAATTTTACACCCGTCGCGGGCTAAAACTAAAAAAGGAAAAAATTCAATATATGAACTATATATATTATATATATATATATTATTAGATATATTAAATATATATTTTTTGGCAAGTCTCTGAGCTTAAAAACTAGAGCACGTGAGTATGCGTAATATCATCAACGCAGATCGTGCCTCACGATCTATGATCGATTTAAAAAAAGGAAAGAAAACAGAGAATCCCGCGGAATGTTGAAACGCGTCGACATTAACGGCAAACCGAGAGGATTTATCCCGTCAGAGATGTCGTCTGTAAACGCGCGATGAAAAATGTCGACACGTTCAACTAAAAGATAATAATAATAATGGCACAGAACGACTAATCATGCGTTATCACGTTGCTCTTCGATCGTGGTAAAAATAAAACCGAT